TACTGGTAGCTCAAATAAGAAAGTTAAATAGATATGAAGATGCTTTTACATTAGAGCAGAGTAGGAGAGAACTTAATGAAGATTAGGTGAAACAAAAAACATTAGCATAAACTCATGATTTTGGAAGATAAAGATGGCCTCTCCTCTTAGACTCTGTGATCCCCAAGTTACTGTGGGGTCTCCAGCATGCCACTATGAGCTATATGAAATGATATAAATTCATGAAATGATAGAGATACATAGCCCCAGGGTTCAGAGTTCAAATGTTTAAATTGTTTATTTTTTTTCCAAGTGTTTCCTGAAATGTGCACATAGCTGGATGTCAAAAAGGGAAAAGCAGGTTATTATGAGACATCTTGTTTTCAGAGTTAAGCTGAAGCAAGAAGGCCCACCTGGTTGATTCAGCTTCTGAGTGCTGTGCACACTGCCTCTCTGTCTCTCTTCACCACTTTTCTGTACATTATTAGCTTTATTCTCTCTGGCTGACTATCTCCCTGAGACATGATTCCATCAGAAAAGAGAAAAGAAGGAACAGATGTCAGGTAGGCTACTAGAATGCCTCTAACGGATTCCATGGTTGTTCTGGCTTGTGCCCACTCGTTGGCAAGTCCCCATGGCATCGGAGGGAGGCATCCTATAAGATGGCAACTCCTCCTTACAGCTTAAGGTGAAGAAATGGTGAAATTGATATCGTTCCTCCAAACAAGACAACTGTTTCCAGAAGAAGAAAGAGATCTCTTTATGACTTATCTGCTGCTAACAAAGTTACCTCCAAACTCAGTGGCTTAAAGCAATAAACATTTACTATCAGAGTGCTTGCGTAGGTCAGGAATCCAGGTGTGGCTTAGCTGGGTGTCTCTGATTCAGGTCTTTTTCGTCACAAGACTGCAATCAAGGCGTGGGCCAGGGGACAGTTATGCTTAGGCTCCATGGAAGCACTTCTGTGTCCACGCTCACGCCGGTGGCTGTTGGAAGTCTCAGGTCACTTTCTGGCTGTTGACCAGAAACCTTGTCCCTGGCACATAGGTCCTTCCATGGGGCAACTCGTGGCTGCTGTTTTTCTGCAGAACAAGCATGTGAAAGAGTGAGAGAGGGCACCCAAGAGAGAAGCCAGTCTTTTGTAACCTAGTATCTGAGGTGACATTAGAAGTGAGTGAGCCTAGATCCAGCCCACATTCCGGGGTGTGTGTGTGTGTGTGTGTGTGTGTGTGCATGGAGATCACTGGGACCTTTTCACAGCCTGCCTACCCCAGGAACTGAGCAGGCTAGTACGCTGAGCCTGAACACGCTGAGTGTGATGAGAGGTGGCTACGGTCTCGACAAACAAGTTGCTGTAGAAAAACTTTGAGATGATGATGATACTACAAGGGGGATGTTAATACAAATGTGTAGCAGGTGATAGTAATGCATACAGCAGGTTTTTAACAAATGTTTTATTAAATATGCAACAGTTGGGGCCTCCCTGGTGGCGCTGGCAGTTGAGCAACGCACTGTGAAGCTGTATGCAGCCTCTGCAGCGTGGGTTTGATCCCTGCCGCAAGAATCCCACATGACACAGCAGACCTCTCCTGTCACACCCGCTGCTTCCCTCAGCAGTGTATTTCGTCAGTCTGCTTGTTCTGTTCCCTGCTCTGGCTCTGGTGAATCCTCTCACCCTCCTCAGCCTCTGGCCTGTACCCTGGCTCTTGTATAAATAAATAAATCTTTAAAAAAATATGCGACAGTCAATGATATTTATGAACTCTATGTGTGATGTAAAGAATAGTGATAAGATGAAGATGCATGGCCCAGAGAAAGGGGCTGACGTGATCCTTAAGTCTGTTAGTCCCTCCCCTTCCTCTCTAGAGGTCGTTTTCACCCTGAATTTTGTCAGCTTTATTCACTTGCTCTTCGCCAGTTTTACCACAGATATTTGTATCTTTCTACACGATATTGTATGCTTCAGCTTTCTATAAATGGGATCACGCTGCATGTATTTCTCTGTGATTTGCTCCTTTTGCTCAAGATTATGTTTTTCATTTGATGTGTTCACACTGATGTTTTCAATTTGACCCAAACTTTACTAAGCTCTTCATATATTATTCTAACACAAGAGCACATTCAATTTTATTGTTTGAGTCACCAGCTTTCTCACTTTTATATACAACACTGTAGGAGTATGGCACAACCCAGCTTATTGATGGGTGTTTGCGTTAGTTCTGTATTTTTGCTACATAAATAGTACTGCTGTGAACCTTGCTGAGCTGTCTCCTGTTATGCTTGTGCAAATGTTTCCCTAAGCAATACACCTGGTAAAGGAACCGCTGGCTCAAAGGTATATGAACATTTGGCTTTAACAGATAACCCCAGATTGTTTTCCAAGGAGGTTGTAGTGACTTATGCTCCCAGCAGTAGTGAATAAATGATCCAGTTGCTCCAAAGTCTAGTCATTATTTCATTATTTACTATTGTCTGACTTAAATATTTTTTCTAATCTGGAAGGTGTATATATATATATATATATATATATGTATGTATATATGTTAGGTTTTTTTTTTAAGATTTATTTATTTATTTATACAAGCACTGGGTACAGTCAGAAGGGCAGGAGGGTGAGAGAATTCACCAGAGCCAGAGCGGGGAGCAAAACAGGCAGATCTACCGAAATACACTGCTGAGGGGAGAGCGGGCTAGTCAGGAGAGGCCTGCTGCGTCATGTGGGTTGCTCCCTGGCTTGCCGGGACCTGAACTCGTGCTGCAGAGGCTGCGGACAGCTTCATAGGTTGTGTCTTAAGCCCTTGCACCACCAGGGAGGCCCCTATTTAGTTTATATACCACCTCTGCTGCCTTAAAGGGGATCAAGCAAAAAGGCAATGGACATTGGCGGTTGGACAATTATCACTACCTGAACCTCTGCAGATGGTGGTGCTTTTAAAGTTTTAAATAGATTTTGCATACTCAGAGATTTACAGTGAGTGTTAATAAAGGAGTTACTTCGCTTAGATGTTATTCTGTATGCTCAACAGTGGATGGTAAACATGGAGGAGCTGGGGTTGTTAAAAGGTTAAACATAGTGCAGTCACATGCTGATTGGACTATACCCAAGAAACACAATTCCAGGACAAGTCAAAGTTCCAAGGTTAGCGCCAGCTGCAAATATGCAAAGAATCAGGTGATCAGCAATAGCTGGTGACAGTGTGTTCTTGGAGGCAGAGTTGAAGAAATGGAAGCTGCCAAGCATGGGACTGTGAGACCATCCTGGACCCCAGGGTGTCTGGGTGGGCCTGGTGGGGGAGGTGAAAAGTGACACAGAGTGGAAGTTGGGTGCTCCTGACATTGCACTTTAGAGCTTCCTTCCTACAAAGTGCAGACCAAGATGACTTCTGATGTATTGGAAGGGTATAAACTTACAACATGAAAAACAAGCAAACAAAAAGCAATTTAGCAGTCATGAACTTAAAAATGTTCCTATATTTTTGTTCATATTTGTCCAACCTTAGAAATCTGCCTAATCAGTTGAGTTATTGTTGGATGAAATTATTTTAATTATCTCATATGGCACGAAGAAAAGAGATCCAGGAAAGTCTACACATTCCAGCCTGGGGAAATCCACAACCTGGAGCATCAATGGGCTTGGCCAAACCTGAGCTAAGGGCCACCTCTGGTCTTAGTGCCCAGTGCCCGGTCACACCCCTCTTCACTCGTTTTTTTTAACCACCTGATTCCTACTTATTTAGTTTTTACAGCCGCAATCATCATCTGGCCAAAGTCACCTCTTGACTCAGTATTTCCTTGCTTGAGCTCTTGAGAGAGGGAATTTGATTGGTCAGATCATCTTTCCAAACCAGGCAAGTACTGAGCCTTTGGCCAAAGTATGAATTAGCTGCCCTTGGATCAGATGTCTTTCCGTGGGCCGAGGTTAAGGTTAGCCAGCCCACCTGCAGCTGCTTATAGATGCCAGTGGTGGGAGTGGTTCTCCTTATAAAGGACTTTGTGGGCCTCCCTGGTGGCCCAAGGGGTTCAGTCTCAGCTCTGTGAAGCTATCCACAGCCTCTGCAGCACGTGTTTGATCCCCGGCCAGGGAGGTGTAGCAGACCTCTCCTGAAGCGCCCGCTGCTTCCCTCAGGAGTGTGTTTCAGTCAGTCTGCCTGTTCTGCTCCCCACTCTGTCTCTGGTGAATCCTCTCACCCCAGGCATCTCTGGCCTGTGCCCCAGCTCTTGTATGCATAAATAAATAAATAAATAAATAAATTTTTTGGAAAGGACTTTGGGCAGGCCAACCTATTACAGACATCTCTACAAAAGGAACTTAAGAGATTCCGAGATGGGGACCCAGAGGCGCTTTTATAAAGCGAGCACCCGCACACACATCGAAGACACTGTCCATCGACAGAGCAGTGTGATGAATTCTGGCTGTTTAGGTATGGAGCGAAGAGCAGTTGATGCAATAACTTTGAAGACTATTGAAGAACATGGGGAAATGCCCATAAAATAACATCAAGTGAAAAAGCAGGCCGTACCACCTAAGTCACAGTATAATCAGGGGCCTCTAAGAAAAGGCTGTTTATTTTTTCGTTCATAAGAGAAAGGTAACGGGCTAGTGATGCCGTGACCGGTGGTTTAAATGATCCTGATTTGGGCACACAGCTTTCAGGTGTTCCACAGTGAACAGAGCGCGAGAGGAAACGCGGAGCATGTGTTGTTGAAGTCCACATTTCTTCATCTTAACGGGGCTCTCGAGCGGGCCAGCTCTCCAGCCTCGCCCGCGCTCCGCCGCGGGGCGCCCGGCCTCCCCCAGCTGCCCGGGCCCCGGCCCCCTCTCGCTTCTCCGCGCGCGTCCACAAGCCTTTCTGGGCATTCCACGGTATTTGCAGCATCTTGCTGTTCTAACCCAAAAAGGCCGGCGCAGACAGCTCTCCGGCCAGTTCCCGGGGCCCGCGCGCCCCCCACTGGCCGGGCCGGGCCGGACCCCGCGCCTCCGGGCCGCGCCCCGCTGGGCTCCCCGCCCCCCCGCCCCGCCCGCTTCCGTCTTCCCGCCGCCCGGCCCGCCCGCCCCGCGCGCTCCCGGCGGCCATGGCTCCGCTGCGCTTCTCCGCCAATGTGTCCTGGCTGTTCCCCGAGCTCCCCGGCCTCCCCGCCCGGCTCCGGGCCGCGGGCAGCTCGGGCTTCAAGGCAGCCGAGGTCGCCTGGCCGTACGCGGAGCCCCCCGAGGCGCTGGCGCGCGCGGCGAGGGAGGCCGGGCTGCAGCTCGTGCTCATCAACACGCCCCAGGGTGCGCCGCGGGCCGGGGCCGGGGCCGGGCCGGGGCCGCCCTCGGGGCTGACACCGGTTTTCTCCGCAGGAGACCGAGAGAAGGGGGAGATGGGGCTGGGAGCCGTGCCCGGGAGGCAGGCGGCCTTCCGAGAAGGGCTGGAGCAGGCGGTGCTGTACGCCAAGGCTCTGGGCTGTCCCAGGTACCCCCCCCCCCCCCCCCCCCCCCGCCCTCGTCCGCGGTCTGGGAGCACCCAGGTCCGAGGGTCAGGAGCGCGAGCGCACTGGCCCTTCACCGGCCCTCCCCTGCCCTTTGTAAAGTGCCTTTTATATTTTACCTGTCATGAGTCACGCTTAGTTTGCATGCTTCCATACTGGAATCCCAAGCCCGGAGCTCAGTCTGACCTGGGAGGTAGCCAAGGAAACCCACACGGGGACCCGTGAGGACAGAGTAGAGTAGGCACCGAACTCTGGGGCCAGAGAAAACTTCTTAGAGGTGTAGTGATGTTGAACCGGGCCTAGAAGGAGCAGGTGTTTGCTTGATGTAAGGTGTGTTTCAGGCGAGGATGCCAGAGGCAAAAGAGCTTGGTGTTTTCAGCTCAGTTCAGGAGGCTGGTGATTAATCTGTCAGGGTTGGATGTGGCTGAAAAGGTGGAGCTCAAAGCGGGGCCCATCAAGTAAATGTCAAATCCCGCAGAGGGCAAATAGGCTGAGGAGCAGGCAACGAGGGGTCATTACTGGTGAGTGGTGGAGGCAGAAAACAGATGGGAAAAAGCTGAGAAACAGGCAAGTTTAGACAAGCGGCATGGAATGCCTAAGAAGGGTAAGAGTCAAAATAGTTTTTAAAAGTGAACTTAAGCATGTTTATAGGAAAGATGGTGAAAATACAGGAGGGGCTAAGCGAGGGACCTGCCGCAGGATGGCTGACCCAGGAAGGTATCCTGGGGATGGATGACACAGGGCCCGAGGGAAGTGGAAGACAGACCTGAGTATAAATCTGGGGGCGGGGCCTGGTCAGAGGGCGGCCAGGAGAGGCACACTGGCTGCTGTCATAGTGAGGCCCCTGCTTCAAGGGTGGGTTCTGCTGCCCCGTCCAGTGCCATCTTCCCCCAGGATTCACCTGATGGCTGGCCGAGTACCTCAGGGAGCTGATCGAGCAGCAATCAAGGGTGAAATGGAGACCGTTTTTCTGGAGAACTTGAGGCACGCAGCCGGGGTTTTGGCTCAGGTGAGACAGTAGAAAAAGGTAGACACATTCACATGAATGTCTGTGTGTGTGAGGGGACACATGACGGGACAGCAAATGAGGCACAAGGCTGGGCATAGGTCAGCGGGACTGGTGAGTCCTGACCAGTGATTGGCTGATGGGGGACAAACCTGGGGATAAGCTCTATTCAGGGCTCTGACTTGGTACTAGGAGAACCTCGTGGGACTGCTGGAGCCCATTAACACCCGTGTCACGGACCCCCGGTACTTTCTGGATACCCCCCAGCAGGGTAGGACCACTGTTGCTTCCTCCTAGCCCCTTTGATTTTTGTGCTCCCCTTGAGTCTCATAGCCCCCTCCCAATTCCTCCGCAGCGGCAGCCATCTTGCAGAAGGTGGGAAGACCCAACCTCCAGCTACAAATGGTAAGTAGGAGTACTCAGAAGGCCCTGTTTTCCCAATCTGGGGAAAATGGTGGGAGCTAAAGGGTCTCTGACTGGTATTCTCTGCCTCAGGACATATTCCACTGGCAGATCATGGACGGGAACCTGACAGGAAATATCCGGGAATTCCTGCCCATTGTGGGTGAGAGGGGTCCCTTTCTTTGCTCCCTCCTTGTTGGCAGTACTGCTCCCTCTGCACCCCGCCCCCCTTCAGTTCCCTGCATCTGTTCCTCCAGTCTCAGAAGGAGACCTACGTCTGTCCACATCTGTCCCTAGGGCATGTGCAGGTGGCACAGGTCCCGGGCCGGGGGGATCCTGGCAGCCCCGGAGAGCTCAACTTCCCCTATCTGTTCCAACTGCTGGAGGATGGAGGCTACAAAGGCTTTGTGGGCTGCGAGTACCAGCCTCAAGGTGAGGGGGGGACCAAGGCCCTGGGGAAAGGGAGCTCTGAAGGGAAACGCATTGGACAGGGGCTGCTTTTCTCCTCCTGAGTTGAGATGCCACTGCCTCCCTCTCCCCTCAGGAGACACTGTAGAGGGCTTGAGTTGGCTACGTTCATACTGGGATAAGCGGGGCCTCCCAGAGGCTGGCCAGTGAGGTCCTGCAAGCCACCCCCGGGCAGCTCTGCACAGTGAGTTGAGCGCCCTAAATCTCCCTTCAATTAAAGACAAGCTGCTAAACATTTCCGTGTGTGTGTTATTGGTGTGTGTGGAGGGGAAGGGAGTGGGAATAGGACACACAGTGTCTAACCATTAAGTTTCTCTGGGTCACTTCCCTCCTGCTGAGAAGGGACATACAGTATGTGCTTAAGTCCTCCAGTCTGTGCCAGGGCTGCTGTGGAGCCGGGAGAGCTTTTCAGCCCACGTCCTCATTCAGAGATGAGAAACCAAGGGTCCAGCAGGGGGCCTCGCCCATGGTCACAGGTGCTTCAAAGGCAGAGCTGGGACTGAACCAAGGGGTCTTATCTCAGTGGCTATGTCCAGCAGTGATGTCTGAGGGCTCAAGATGGTAGGGAGGCAGTTGCTAGCTGATCAAGACAAGATTTGGCTCAACAGGCAGGGGCCTGGCAGTGGAACTCTTAAGGGGCAAGTAAGTACTTGCCATCTGCAGTGAAGAATTCCTGGTAGTGCAAGAGTAAGCAGGAAGGAGTCTGTTCTGGAAAGGTCCAGGGGGCTGAGAGGAGTTGACCTGACCCACTCTGGAGCTAGTCAGCAGCTGTGAGGCGGAGGGCAGTCCCTGCTGCCAGCCTGGGGTTGCAGACCCCCAAGGCACATTCACAAAGCTTTTGGTGTCCTTCAGTCCTGCTTCAAGGGGGTGATCTTACAGATCGAGGATTCAAGGGACTGTGACAGTCGGTGTCCATTCCTCACAGGAGGCGGGTCCAGAGGGTGAAACAGGCTGTGTTGATGACGGACTCAAGGTGGTGGTAGGTGGAGACCAGCTGGGCCGGGGGGCTGCTCTCGCTGTCCTGGGGCTGTACTGGAAAGGGTTCTCGGAAAACCACTGTCAGGGACTGTGGGGAACACGGCAGGGGTACAATGGTAAGAGAGCAGCAGGGTGGGCACAGGGAGTAGGGTTCGAGAAAACTCAGTTTGGCTCTGGGCAGCAGCATCTGGAGTGCAGCCTCCCACTAGGCTGACAAAAACCCCTTGCCCCCTGTTCTTACCGTCTTTCCCAAGTGGGAATCCAGAAACACTAGCACAAAACAGTCAGTGAACTTCTGATTCAGCACCACCTGCAGTGAATGACAAAATGAGACGGGACTTAGGTCCGTCTCACCTGAGGAGGCAGACTCCCTTGGAGGGCATACTGGGAGCGGGGCCACTTTGAGTTAGGCCTGCTTCCATCACCATAGTGACCGCACCCTGCACTCCAATGTGACCAGCACCTCATCTCCACTCGAACCTACTCCTCATCCCGGTCAGCCTGTTGAGCCTCACCAGGGCAAAGATGGGACCTGTCACCTGTCTGAGTCGTCTGTCTAGAGGCCCTGCACAAAGCTGGCACACTAAAGCCCATCAACCAAGGCGCATTCTCTACCTGGAATTGCCTCTCCTTGCCTCCTGTCTGGGAGTCATCCATCCTGACCTCCCTCATCTCTAAGTGAGTCCAAACCTCAGCTCTGCCATCTTTCCCTAGGTGATGTTTTCTACTCCAGGGCTTCAATTACCCTTGTTCATACAGATTCTGCCTAGATCTTTTTCCTGAACGCCAATCCCTGAGTCCATAAAACTTCTAGACTGTTCCTGAGGTATTGTGACCTTAGACTCAATATGCCCCAAGTTCAATTCATCACCTTTCTCCCTAACCCACCCCTGTGCTCCAGCACCCCTCCCCCCATAGGGGCACCCGATCTGTTCACTGCACTCACCTCTCACCTGCATTACCGCAACCACCTCCTGACTCACCTCAGCTTCTCTGGATGACTCTTCATCCACCTTGAAACTGTACTATGTTATAGGACCCCTTGCCAAGGCCCACCTCCTACTTTATCTTCTGAAGTCTTGAACGCTTCCTCTGAATCATGACTCTAGCTGGTCCTGTCTCCTATCTCGGCAATCCCCACACACGCCCAGCATCACTGCGTTCCTACTACCACTTTTCCACCAGTGCTCTCAATCAACCACCAGGCGATCTGGCTAACTTGTAGGTTCTCAGTCAGCAGGAATGGATAGGGCCCAGGAATCCACATTTTGGCAAGTCCACGTGTAGTGCTGATGCTACTGTGGAAGGGCCACACAGCAAGTAACAAAGCTTTAAAGCCCCAGAAGTCCTTTCTGGGACTCCAGCCTATGAGACCAACTTCTACAGGGGTTCCGAGAGCGCCTCTCTTGTCAGTCCCAGAGGCTGGCCTTGGAATTTCCAGCCGAGGCTTGTGTTTCATGAGTCTCTGCAGTCTCTGTCCATCTAGGGCTCCCTCCAGAGCAGAACTGGCTTGGTTAGGCTGGGGGTCATCCCTCTGATGAGGATGTCTGCAGTGGCTCCCCTTTCAGAGGCAGATGCAGGGCACTTACCAGATATTGAGTGCCCAAGTCGGGGCTCTGGAAATGGCGACAGCTCTGTGGAAAGCGACTTAGGAGAACTTTGATCAAGCTCTGGTACCAGGAGACCGTCATGGATAGGAAACAGTCCTGGGGGAAGGTCCACAGGCCCCAGAGTCACCTGAGCCCCTGCAGCCTCCACCCAAACTGCTTAGAAAATTCTTACCATTCTACCCCAGCCCCTTCTAGTCTCCATAGCCACTTACCAGCTGGGGGTCGATGTCCCCAATGGATTTGGCATGGACTGCTTCGAGGAGCTCCTCCAGCTCAGCCAGGGCCAGGCGCCCCCCGAGCCGCAGCCGATCAGGTCCTGCTGGCTCCAGTAAGAAGAGGCGCTTCCAGAGGGTGTCCCGACGGCAGTGTCCTCCAGCCAGTCTCACCAGCTGAGCCAGCCGTGCCCGTGCCACGCCCACCTCTGCAGCCAGTGGAGGGAACAGGGGAGCCAGACCAGGGGCCAGACCAACCCCTGAGGCCTCCCCGGGGCTACCAGTTGAGGTCCCGGGAGCCTCGGGCTCAGGGGGTGGTCTGGGGGCCTTCCGGAACCGGCGTATATCAGCAGTGAGTCTGGGGAAGAGCTCTCGTTGGCTGGTGAGCACCACGAAGAACTGCAGCCTGGGGAAGGGAGGGGAGAGGAGCGTGGTGGTCAGAAGACTCATGGGGCGAGAGCGGGAGAGGCTGGGTGACAGGCTTGTTCAAGGTGAGAGGGGCTAGCTGACCGTAGAACATGCCGCTCGGCCTCTCCTTGCTCCTCAAAGGGTGCAGCACAGTGACAGACAAGCAGAGAAACGTCAAAGTCATCCTGGTGGCGAAGTCCCTCAGAGTCCAGGTAGGAGCCAGAGCTGTGTGGTATGGGAGGGTGGGAGAGATGTCAACTCTGAGGTGCTCACCAGTCAACCCCACCCACTCTGCCTGTAGAACATGGGTTGCTACTCTCAGTCTGGGTCTGATTAAGCTCTACCTGAGCTGCCCGCTGCCCATGTTACCTGTGCCAGGCTGACACCAGGGCATATTCATTATGTTCCGGCCCCCCTGGCCGGGCCATGCGCAATGGCTTCATGTGGTAGGAGCTGGCATGGTCAGCCACGTAGTTGTACAGCTGGTGGGCAGCGATGAGTGGTGTGGGGAGCTCCAGTGTCCCTGAGGGCGAGTCACAGGAGACACTGAGCCGGGGACAGACACACTGATCTGGTGGGGCAGGGGACTGGAGTCCCTACCTTTCTGATGGACAGGCAGACCTGCTCTGCCCTTCTGGGGAGCTTATGGAGGTCATAGAGGACATGAGGTGGGACAAAAGCTGCTTGGGACCGAGGGCAGGGTACCACATGACCCAGGACCTCAACTTTGGCATGAAACAGATTGTGAAGAACTTAAGACAGGCACATGACAACAACAAGGGGGGCAGGGTCCAAGGTGACACAAGGCAAGTGACAACATGCAACACCAGACGGAGAGGCGAGGTCTGGCCCTTGGACGCAGCCTCACTGGTGCTGGCTTGGAGATACCTGGTAGACTGCTATTTTTCTGACTTGCCCTTGGGCACCAACCTTGGTAAATGTGATTGCGGCCAAAGTGGGGACCGTCGGGGTGGTGGGCCAGGAAGTGTCGCAGGAAGGTGGTGAGGTGGTAACCATGCCTCAGCACCAGATGGGTGCCCAGCACATGCTGGTGCACGAGGCGCAGGTGGAAGTCATAGCTGAACGAGTGCACGTGCATCAGGTCCCGCACCTTGTCGCACTCCTCCGTGAACAGCATGGACAGCTGCGGAGGGGGCAGTCAGGGACTGGTGAGGACAAGGTAGCACAGGCCTCCCCGTACATTCCCATTCTCTCCCTCTTCTGCGGGAAGAGGAACCTTAAGATTCACCCCGTTGCCATGGGAGGCCCTCCTCGTTGTGATCTCTTTTATACTGGACTGTACCTGTTTACATCAACTGACTGTTTTGAGAGATGGGCCTTTTATTCTGTATCCCAGATGCCCGTCAGGTCTGCCACAGGTTCATGGACACTTGCTGAGTGCCTACCATGTGCCTACCTCAGGCTGTTCTAGGTGCTGGGGACACACTGGGAAAGAAGACCAAACCTCTGCCCTCGAGGAGCTTACATTCTGGTCTTGGGAGACAAAACAATAAACATTAGGCCAAGCAAATGACTAAAATATATCGTACATTAGGAGACGATGTTATGGAAAATCAAGTAGTGAAGCAGCTGCAGTTTTAAACAGTGTGGTCAGGTATGTAATTATTTGCTATTAGAAAGTTTTTCTTAGAATTGCTGGAATTATATGACCACTCACCTGGGGGCACTGGGCATAGGAGTTAATAAGAAAGGAAAGGAAATAAATGACTGTCAAAGCAGCAAGAGTCCAGGAGCCAAAGGAACTGTATGATCTGGGATAAATCACAGTCTCTCTCTACTTCAGTTTCCTCACCTACCATGAAGGTAAAGTTCTTCATACAATCAGAGGCAGCGTGATAGACTGAAATACCCAAGGGTGAGCCTCAGAGTTAAAAGACCTAGATTTCAACCCCAATAGTGCCACCAACAGTGCTACTCTCTTGCTATGTGCCCAGGGCCAATTATTTAACCTCTATGAGCCTGTTCAGAAGCAACTCTCCTCTTAGTGTGTGCACTAAGTACTTAACGAGCTACGGTACTAATGAAGCAATTTAGAAATTCAAGTAGGATTAGAGACTAGATATGTGGGGATAAATAGAACAGCTGGATGGAAATCAGGTGTCAGGTAAGCCAAAAGGACTTCAGGAAGCTCAAGAGAGCAATGGGGTGGATCCTTCCCACCAACACTCTAGCAAAGTGGAAAAGAGTGCCTGCCACCCATGGCTCCCTTCTGAGCACTCCTGGCCCCGGTCACTGTGCTTTCCTGGGTCACATCATCCCATGATGATACCACAAATCCCATGGTATTTATACCCAGGTCAGAAGCAACCGCTCACGGGCTGCATATGAGCTGTTCAGATGTGATGGGGGGGGTGGCGGGGGTCTGTGTTGGAGAGGGACCGACTGGGCCCAACCAGATCCCGATCTCTCAGAAACTAAATGTAATGCACAAAAAGGGCACAGGGCCCACATGGCATGCCTCGCAACCTGAAGAGCCGAGCTAATAACTCAGGTCCAGAGGGCTTTGGTGACCTCACCTGATGCTCTGACTCATTCTGAGCACCTGGCCCTCATGGGGTACAGTGGTGCTGCCCTGGGGCAGACAGAAGTAACAACTTAGTGCCAGGGGTATGCTGTGTGATTGGGAATTCAGGCCTTCATCTTAAGTGCTAGCGGCTATACTGACGATGTCAGGCTGCTCCCAGCTCTAGATCAGGCCAAGCCTGCCCACAGCACCCACCTGTCCCTGTATCAGATACCCACTATGCTCACATGTCCTGTCTAACCCACCATCTATGGTTAAGGACCGACCACAGAGCCAGGCTGCTGTCACTGCCAGAATGACTGGAGAGTGCTGAGCTGCCTTCAGCTCCCAGGGCTACAGCTGGATGTGCCCCTGGACTCCGCAGGATCTGGTGCCAGCCCATAGCACCAGATCATCACTAGGCCAGATGGCTCATGCATCACTGTTACTGGCCACAGCACACTGGGAGTACACTGATGATACCTGAGACCCTATATTCCTCTGTCCCTACCACATACCTGAGAGTTGACAGCTTGACCCATGGGGATTCGGGAACATTCCAGGGCAAATTGTTTGACGCAGAAGTAACATCCCTGGATATAGGGTGAAGATGAGGTCAGGAGGGCAAGAGACAGGTGGGGCTGGCTCTTTCCACTCAGTGCTCCCCCTGCTCACCTGGAAAGTCAACTCTATGAGGATGATGCCCCCAGGCAGCGCTCGCTGCAGGTGGTAGGTGGTGACCGAAGAGCCAGCACTCTGAAAAGAGAAAAAGAACTGGGGTTTAGAAACAATGCCTGGGGCCTTATCAGCCTTAGCCAGCAGGGAAAAAGTTCCCTAGTCAGTGTTATTAATGATGTCAAGCTGGGGCAGGACCTCAGTCATCATTCAGGGCTATTTCCCTTGGGCCAGGGAAATAACTTGGGCTCAGTGATGCTGATGTCTGGGGCAACATTTTACTGGCGGAGAAGTTACTTGAGGACACATTACCTTAGGGCTCCCATCAATCTTGTTTTTAGGGCAGGAGAAGGAACCTCGGCCCTCTGTTCCAAGGATAGCCATGGCTCTCATCCGGCTGGTGCTGCAGAAAAGGAAGAGGAACAAGAAGATGAGGCAGGCAGGCCTGTGAGGCGAGGATCACAGCGATCAGACCCATTTCTCATGGAATCCTGTTGTAGGAAAGGAAGCAGACCTAGAGAGGGGAAGGCCCTGCTGGGCCCCACAGTGAGTAATGGCAAGATTGGGACTGAAGTCCAGGTCTAGACTGGGGCAGGGCTATTGCCATAGCAGGCTAAGTGCCAGTGTACTCACGGGAAGGTGGAGACCAGGTCTCTCTGTACAGTGAGAAGATGAGAGTAGAGTCAGAGGGGAGTCTATGGACATGGGGAGACACCTGTGAGGGGATGGAGACATGTGCATACTGGGGGCAGCAGGGAGAGAGAGGGTGATGTACTTTCCTCTGAAAAGGAAAAGTTTCTTTTTTAAAAAAGATTTGTTTCATTTATTTATGCATACAAGAACAGGAGTCTAGGCCAGAGATGTGGGGGTGGTGGTGAGAGGATTTATCAGAGACAGAGTGGGGAGCAGAACAGGTAGATCTACTGAAATACACTGCTCAGGGGAGCAGCGGGTGAGACAGGAGAGGTCTGGCTGCACCATGTGGGTCAGCTCCATGGCCAGGGATTGAACTCATGCCGAAGTGGCTGGGGATAGCTTGATAGCTCTAAGACTTAACCCCTGCGCCACGAGGGAGGCCCCCAAAGGGTTCATTTTTGACTGGGAAATGGCAGTTTCAACAATGCACAGGGCTACTGGTTCTCACTCCTCAAATCAGAGGCAAGGGGAAAAGAGAAGCAGAGAAGGTACTGTGACGAACAAGGACTAAACAAAAAGGTCAGTGTGACCCCCTGGTTATACTGAGGAGCTATAAACCACCAGAACTCTCTTGCTGTGTCTGTGTCTGGGGGAGTGTCAAAGCCTCTGTTAAGAAGAAATGTCCTATTTAATCCTCAAGGAAACTGGGACAAAACTTAACTAGTGACTGGTGACTGTTAAATTGACCATAGGAACATTTTAACTTAATAATGTACTTTTTAAAAAAAAAAAATTCAGATTTTGAGAAAGAATGTAACTGAATGGAAATTATGCTAGCTAAAGTCTTTCCCAGAATCTTCTACAGCTGGGATCTTGCTGTCATGGGCAGCAAGCTGGGTATCTCCTCATTGGGTTCTGTAACTGAGAAATGAAGAGGGGCGGGTGGTCCCTGGACAGGCACAAGCCTGTCCTTTCCTTCTCAGGCCTGGAAAAGAGGGAAGCCTGGAAGGTAGAGAGCTAGGTACAAAATATGCTAAGTTAGCACTGGCTTTCTGGGCCAAGGTAGTGTCCTGAGCAAGGATGTACAGTTGTGCACTATTAAATGACATTTTGATCAACAATGAACCGTGTGTGTGTGTGTGCGTGTGCACGTATATAGGTGTGTGTACTAGGCTATAACAATGCATTTCTCAGAACATATGCCCATCACTAAGCAACACACCTGCACGATTTACACTGACTTGTTTGAAAAGGCAACAACCAGCTTGAAAATGGAAAAGGAGAAAATGCCTTGATAGACTCAGAATTCTAGAGACATGAATGTGTGTAATGTGAGCATGTTTTCCCATGCTGGGAACCTAGAATCTGGAGGCTCAGATGTTGAGAGGAACACAGAACAGGAGCCATAGACCTGGGAATTTGAGGTGTGAACAGGACAGGAAAGATGGCTGTGGAGTTTTTTCACTGAGCTCTGGGGAAGTGGCAGGTGGAGACGATGGGCCTGCCTACCTCCTGACTCAGGCCTGTTACTATGGCCAGTGAATGGACAAGACCAGGCACAGGCCTGAGGACAATGAAGCAAGTAGGCCTGGAGCAGAGTCCTTGGGAGGAAAGGCAAGTAATCTCATGAGAAAAGTAATTCCTGGGTCAGGAACTGTCTAAAATTTCAGGAGGTCAGGAGAGGGATCAGGATGGGAACCACGCAGACCCAGATCCAGCCTGTAGGCACACAAGGTGGAGCACAGCGCTGTGAGACTGTACCCACTTCTGTGTGTGATGGTGGCTGTGAATTCCTGAGATGCCCAAGGCTTCCAGGACACGCGTGAGGGCTGCACGAAAGCGTCCACGGTCCTTATGTATGTGTGCTGGCCCAGCTGAACAAGCACATGGGACCCGTGTGAGAGGGGGGGCTTACCTGCGGGCAGGCGAGGGGGGCCGCAGCGGCACCAGCGCAAAGCCCATGCTCTGCAGATACTGCACATACTGCTGCAGGAAAGCCAAGCTCAGCTCCTTCAGCCAAGGCTCCTCGCGCGCACTGGGCGGGGGCACATCTGAGGACTCGCAGCTTGAGGCAGCTTCTCGGCTCCCAGAACCTGACTCGGGGCGATGGCGCCGCTGTGGAAAAGGACATGAAGGCAGGCTCTACTTCCTCTCAACCACCCAATGGTGGTGGAGGAAGGGAGGTTACTTGGGGAAAAGGGATATCCCATGGGAGAAATCCAGGAGTCTTGAGCCTCACCTGTCCCTCAGGGGGCCCCGAGGTCTCTGGGGGTCCATGCAGCCAGGCAGCTGGGTCAAAGAGCAGCGCTGTTGCACAGTAATGCACCAGGCGGGACGACTGCTTTAGGGTCTCCAGCTCCCCAGCCTGGGGAGACGGGGCAGTGAGCACGGGAGCAGCGGCTGGGGAAGGGTCATGAGGTACTCTCGGAGAAGGTGGGTGAGTCACTCACACTGATGGGCATGCTGGCTGGGGCAGAACGCTGCTGCCAGGTTACAAACAGGTTCTCCATCTTCATCTGTCGCTCCAGCTCTGCAGGTAGAAGGCATTTGTAGCGCCCCCCAGGAGCCGCTGCCCCCTCCCCCATAACTGCACAGATGGCCCCATCCATTGCCCAGCCCAGTGCCCTCACCTCTGCGCTCTGTCATCTTGATCTCCAGGAACTGTTGCCCGTGGTAGGTGACTGGGTCAGGGGGTCTGGGCACAGGACCGAGTGAGGAGCTGGGGCGGGCAGCGGTGATATCCCTCAGGGCCTCATCAAAGGGGAATGTGTCCAGGGGAAGGGGACCCCCACCCCGAGAGGATCCACTCAGCCGGCCCTGCTCACGGCTCAGTGGGGGGCTTGCACTCCGGATGAGGGTCTCTGCTTCCATGGTTGGTAGTAGGAATGGGTTTGGATCCTGAGAGAGATGGAGCCCCACAATGGGTTCATGGTCTTTGCCCTGATCTTCTCTCCCATCCTCTGACCTCTCTGACTCTCCCTCCCCCACTGCTTCTGCTCTCAGCCTGTCCCCTCCCTCCCGCTTGCTTCTGAGCTAGTACTTTCTTCAGCTGACCTTTCAGAAGCCACAACCAGAAAAGGAAACCACAGTAGGCACCTTTTCATCCCGTACTGGGAAATCCAACTGGCCATAATGGTGGAAGAGTCCAAGCTTCTGGCTGAGGAGGCAGAAGATGAGGTGGGCCCTCGCATTCTGCCACTGCACAAGGCGAACCAGCGCTCGGCCCAGTGCCACCCCCAGGTCTGGAGCCCAGTTGTAGGTCAGCAGCTGTAGCTGGAAGTCAGGGTCAGGGTCAGTGAGATCACAGAACCTCTTCTCCCACCCAGCCCCAGCCCCACATATCTACCTTCTTGTCCACGACCTCCAGCAGCAAGAACCTCTGGCGGGGAGCATTTCGCCCCAAGCTCCCGTCACCTCCTGGCTCAAAGCGCTGCACAGCTTTGGCAGCTATGGGGGAGGGGAAGAGTACAATGAAGGTCTGGGGAGAGAGCCCCTGCAGAGTTAGTCACTGAACCCACCCTTCCTGGGCCATGCCCTCACCCTGTTGGGTTGGTCTCCTCCACTGCAGGAAGTTCCTTCCCAGAAGCAGCAGGTGCCGCTCAGCTGCTGGGCGTGGCATTGGGCCCACTTGTCCAAGGGAACAAGGACTGAAGATCTCTCGCTCTGAACCCCTAGAGGGAGGGAGAGATGGATATCCATGGCCCCATTCCCTGACCATCACCTCTCCTGGCCTGGCCCTCACCTAACCTAGCTTAGCCTCCCTGTGACCCCAAACTCACAAATGCTGCTCAAACACACGGACACTGGTGTCTCCAGCCATTGAGGTGACCAGAGTGGTGAACTCAGACAGGATGGATGGAAGGAGGAAGCGGGACACCATGTGGGTGGAGCTCCTGGACACTGAGGCGCAACCTGGAAGCAGGGCAGGGCAGTCACAGTGGGGCTCGGGACCAAGCCACAGGTTGGGGGTGGAGAGGGTGTGTGCAGTCTCACCAATTTGGACCATAAACTCCATCCAGCGCTGAGTGACACAAGCAAACACCGGCTGCAGGGTCCCCACCTCGCCTTCCTCTAGCTGTGTGGTTCGGCGCCTGGAGACACAGCAGGAGTTAAGACCCTTGCACCCACACGTGACACACGTGTCTCCACACAAACCTGTGACTCCACACCACACCTGCCCATGACACAACCCTACAACACAACACACACCTTTGTCTCTGGGCTCCAGAATCTGAGCCTGGTGCTCTCTCAGTTCCACCAGGAGTGCGAACATTTTCGGTTTTGTGACGCCTCCGGCCTCGAGTGTCTTCTGGCCGATCCAGGACAATGTCATCAGTTGTTTTGGGAGAACCCAAGTCCCCACATTCTGTTTTACTCTGGAGGCAATGCAGTGAATGAGGGGCAGGAAGGGGAAATCGGGAAAGGGTGGAGAATGGAGGCAACAAGAGCCTGAGGATTTGGAGGCCTGGTTCAGGCCCTGGCTTCTGGAAGCTACTCGGCAGCGGTTGGTAGGCTGCTCCACTTTCCTGAGCCCAAGTTTCTTCAATGATGAAAGCCCTACTTATTTTACAGGCTGTGAGGACCCCATAAGAAATGTGGAAACGAAGGTACTTAATGGGGGCCTCTCTACATGAATGAGAACTTCCATGATCTGCAAACTCCATTCCAAGAGAGAGTGGTTTCATATAAAAGGAGATGGGGGGCATGGCCGCCGGGGAGTTTTGGGGAGCTTGGAGGTGAGCAGCACAGCAGATGCCAGTTCACCACTTCCCCCCACTCTTCCATTACCAGCATATCCCAGAAGCTACGCCGGCCAGCTTTGCTGGGGGGAGTCACAGGCTCGCCAGGGCCAGGGCCAGGGCCAGGGCCAGGGGGGAAGGTGCTAGCCCGTCCTGCTGAGCTCTTGGTTTCCAGTGACCCGCTCCTGAGACTTCCTGTGGACACCAGATATTCCAGGCTTCCACCACTGACCACAATGCACGTTCCAGACAACCTAGCCCCAAGACAGCTAAGGTAGTGTACATGCTCTCTACCTATCAGTGAATGACAATATGTGCAACTGACAGTGCACGATGCATGTGTTTGTGTGAAGTGATCTCCTTGTGTGAAGTGGTCTCCCTCCTCAGTGGGTGACCAAGTGCATGTGTACATTTCTGCCAGATCATCCTGCTGATGCTGAAGGTAATGGACAACTGTGAATGTGTATTTCTCATGGGTCCTCTCTAATGTTTTCCCGGGCCCCCACTTTTGCACCCTCACCTGCCACACCATCTTGCCTGGATCTGTGGTATCCCCTGGACCCCACTCACCTGGAGGCGTGTCCTCTGTGCACAGTGAGGCTGGCAGCAGCCGCAGCTCCATGATGGCATCGGCCAGGGCCTGGCGAGCGGCTCCTCGGAGCTTCTCCTCCAGCTGCACAATACTGATGTTGCCCTTTTCCCACACATCCAGTCGAAGCCGTGGAGCCCCATCTGGAGCTGGAGGGCAGAATGAGGGGCATTTGAGGGTGTCCCTCACTCTACTGCATTAACTGAACATCCTCTCCTCTGACCCACCTGAAGAACTGTCTGGCATGACTGGGCAGCGAGTGACCTGGGTGAGTTGCTCAAATTCCTCCTCTTGCAGGAGGTCTGGGGGACCCGGAGGAGATGGAGGCCACGATGCCAATGAGATAGGGTGCCCTCCCTCATCCACAAAGGCTAGAGTGATGCAGGCAACCCCTAGGTAGAAATCCACAGGAAGGCTCAGACCTGGAACTTCCAGACTGTCCCCCCATTCCTACAAAGTCCCTCAGCTGCAAGGTTGGAAAGACCCTCCCAGGTTTTCCCACACCTGATAGTGCCACAGGCCTGGGCCCTGCACTGTACCTTTGCCCCCGGTGCCCTGTCCACCAGGCTTGTTATACAAGTAGATGTCCAAGTCAGGGAGGCCACCTTGTGGTGGCAGTGGATGCTGGAGAGAGAACAGCCACAGAGGACTCAGACCAGGCAAAAGGACAAAAGTCCTCACGGGATGTGTTCACAGTGGGACTCGGGGACACGCACACATAGCACTGGAGACACGCAGGTAGATAGCAAAGGTATGTGTGTGGGGGGCCAGGTCTGTGGTCAAAGGTACATTGGGCACCTTAGAAAATATTTCACAGTAAGGGGGTGTATGTGCAATGGGCGGTGTAGGAGGGCAGCCCAAGTGCAGGTGGGTGTGGAGGGAGGTGGTGAAATCTCACCTGGAAGTGGTTCCGGCTGTTGCTGTCTGTATACTTAGGAGAGTGCAGAAAAATGAGCAGGTTCTGCCGCAGGTACCAGGCCAGGGCAGGGAGCCAGGGCCGGCAGGATGGGGGGAGGGCCAGGTGCAGCACCTCTGAGGGGAGACTTCCCGGGGGCTGGATGAACTACAGAGAGTGGGAAGGGCAGTCAGCTGAATGTGGAGGCTCCAGCTTAGTCTGTAACCTGCATCTGAGCCTTCAGGGGGTCTCTGAGGGAGGGGCTGACCTCCACATCAGCTGGTGTCAGCTTGCAGTTCCGAACAAGCATGACTGTGATGACGTCCAGTGTGGCCTCATCCAGGCGCCGACGCAGAACCCGCACCAGCTCATCTGTGATCTCAGGACCTTGACACAGCCAGGGTGAGAGGTTGAAACACAGGCAGAGGACCCGGCTACCCCACTGCCACTCATCCTTGAGCCCAGGCTCAAACACTCCCCCTGTACCTGCAGCAGCCAGACTAGGTTCTAGTTCTGCCAAGCTACTCACTGTGGGACTGTGGCCCAGTGAGCCTTATCACTCAAAGACTTAGTGTGCTCATCCATAAAATGGGAATAATAGTAACATTCACTTCGTACATAACAGTCTTAGACCAACACCTGGTACACATTAAGTGAACCATAAAAACTAGCTGGAAAATCCAGTGGCCTAATGAACAGCTCAGGCTCAACAGATCCCAAACTGAAGTCATCACCTTCACCCCAAAGCCGCTCCTGGTATGGGGCCAGCGGAACTACCATCTCTCCACAGAGTCACCCGGGCTAGCTATTTGGGTGTCAACAAGATCGGCTTCTCTCTCTCAAGCGGCACTTCATCAGCTATAGGTCCTACCCCCTGAACACCACAGGAGCCTGTCCTTTCCCACCCAGTTCCTGCTTGAGGGAAGCCCAGGGCACAGCAAGAGTTGGACAGTAGGGAGGCTCGAGAGGCATCCTGGAAGATTTTGGAACCTCATCTGGTCACTCCCCTCCCTGCTCCTGGAAGTCCTCACCTGCCTGTCCTACGCCGTGCACCAGCAGCTGGATGTGTCTGTCCACTTGGCCCACAGGACGAGCAGCATCTGAATTGCGGCTGGCAGCCACATCCAGGGGAGAACGCGGACCCTGAAGGGAGAGACTCTGGTCAGGGCCTGGCTCTAGGGAGCAATCACTCTGAGTGGAGCACAGAGTAAGCAGGGAATGGGTGATACATGCCGAGGCTTCCTCAGAGTAGATGGGCTCCTGGCTGCGGGACAGAGCTAGGGAGGGGGGCAGAGAATCGCTTTCCCAAGGCCGCTCACTGCAGGAAGTCTCCAGGAGCCTAGGAAAGAGCAACAAAGTCTTTGGACACTGCTCTTCCTGTGCCATCCTTGACCCATCCCTTACCTCATCTTCCCGGGGCCCTCATACCGAAGATAGTACACAGCCTTTGTTGCTCGCTCCTGATAAACAAACATATTCTTCCGGTTCACCACAGAGAAGGCATTGAGCACAGAGCGCAGGGCCTGGATGGCTATGGGGGTAACATGGACTCAGAAACTCATGCTCCAGAACTCCTTTCTACCTCTACTCCACCTGCCCACTCATGCCAATCACGTACCCCGAGAAACCCCCATGCTGGGCCCCATTTTGAGGCGTGAATGGACTCGAATCACGGTTCCCCACACAACGTCACACGAGAAATGGCCAGGGACAAACTGCATTGTGGCTGCTAAGTACCCTCGGGGTGCACAGCTCTCATCAGCAGCATAATCTGGAGGAAGGGAGACAGTGGATCAGAAAGAAGACACAGTTTTGCACCCCAAACTTCTTACCTGTGAATGGGGCTGCCTGTCACTCTGGATCCCAAGAAGGAGAAGGGGCTCCTTCTTCAGGAAAAGCAAAACAGGAGAAAATCCTTACAATTATGCCAAGACAGTCTGACTCTGTCATATAATACACATCACATTATAATATTTTCCCCACCTGTGTTGGTCATGGGAATTTGCAACAATAGCCCCATTGTAAAAAGGTATGAGTGCTCACACACCCACTGCAGAGCGGGGGGAAGCTGTGTCAGTGCTTTGGAGGACAGCTGCGCCAAAGAACCCAAAGGGCAACGTGGCCATATATAAAAGCCTGTGGCTACAGTCCCATTTCCAGGATTCCAGGTTGACAAGGAATCTGGTAGGAGGTAGCAATTGGGCTTCCTGGAGAAGCTGCATTGGATATGGACAGCTTACAGGAGACTCAGGAGGCTACAGAGTTTGGTATAGAATGTTGGTTGCTAAAGGTTTCAGTGAAAGCATCTGGAAAGACTAAAATGAAGACGGCTGGTGTCTGGGTTCTGGCACGCATCTCAGGTGGCTAGAAATCATTTTAAAGTAAAAGTGTTTGGCTATCCTAGGTCATGGTCAATTTGCAGAAGAAACCTTCCAAGCCCTGGGAAGTTCAATAATTATGGAGAGTCTGCTTTGACATGGAGGTATCCCAAGATGTGCTGAGAAATACACTCTCCACAGTTGTTAAGAACATTCATCTACAGAATGACAGAAAATGTTAAAAACAAGGAGTGATCTGATTTTACTTTTAAACCAGAAAGGAGAAAGAACTGCAAAGAAATGATATGACTAGACTTCCCTCCATGAGTAAGAAGTGACCAGGAGTATGAAGGGACTACAGATGTTGAGACTTCAATACTGTCCTGAGCAGAAAGTCATTTTTCCTTACGACGAGAAAGCCCAGGAATCCCTAAAGGTGTCCTGTGCCTACCTCCTGGTGGGGCAGCCCATCAGAAGGTGAATCCTCCTACTGGGCCTCAGCCTCCTTCCCTCTCGAGCTCTCTCACTTGTGAGGGGGCACTTCACCCTTCTACTTGACCCTGTCTGTTACACTGCAGGGGAAAAATATTCATGCTAGAAAACAAGGCAGAGCCAGGCAAAGTCACGTCCTAAGGAAGACAGGACACAGCCAGGTGCCCTTCTCTCCTGCACTGGTCAACATTTTCCTCACTGCTGGCTCTGTCCTGTGTAACATAATCATGCTCATGTCTCCACCTCATTTGGAAACTCTTTCCCTGCCCCCAACTTCCTTTAGGTGTTGCCATATCTATTTAGTCTTCACTGCCAAGCTACTTGAAAGAGCCATTATTCTCTGCTCTGCCTAGCTAACATCCTTTCACTTTTCAGCCTCCTCTGGTTTCTGCTCACATCTCTGCACTGAAAGTGCTTGTACTGAAATTGCTGATGAGCTCGCAGCAGCCAGGTGTGCTAGTTCTTTCCAGTCTGCCCCTCCTTGCTCTCCCTGTGCTACCTGGCACTGATGATCAATACGCCACCCTGGGCTTCTCATCAGAGTGCTGGGTAAAGGGGAGGGCAGCAGTGCCCTTGTGAGGAAGCTCCTGGGGGAGACTCACCATCACTGGGCAATGGTGCCCGCTGACGTGAGTGGAAAGGGGTTTCGCTGCGCCATAGCTCTTCTTCACTCTCGGCGACCAATAGAGAATTACACACATGACTGTCATGAAGGTCCTGAAGAAGCAGCCGCTGAGAGGAGGAGGAGCAAGACATCAGGGAACTGGAATATGCCCTCACAGACTGATGGCAGTGGTGAGGGATGATCAAAAGCCAGAGAGATACCCATTATCACTGGGGGCCAGAGATCAGGAAGAGCATTAGTAACCACTGGAGGGTCAGAGGTGGTGCCCAATGTCCTTGGGCTGTGAGCACTGCACGCCAGTTCAGAACACTCATCCCACCTCTTTATCAAAAGACTGTATCCACCACCCTTCAGGCCTCAGCTAAAAAATCACTTCTTCAAGAAGCTGTCCCTGAGACGGTCAGCTCCCCATCATAGGCCCTCATAGCAATCTCTTTTTTTCCTTTGTAGAATTGACGGGAATGTAACGGGAATAATTTGTGTGATTTTGTTGTTTAATGTCTATCTCCCTCATTCAACATATTCCAAAGTTTTGTTCACTTTTCTCTCCCTAATGCTAGCACAGCGCAACGACAGGGAGCAGCTCAGTCACTGGAAATGTATAAGAGGATGACTCGCATACCAGGGGTGGGCTAAAGAGTCTCCCATGTAGGATGCTCAGAAGGTACAGCATCCCAGGAACCAGTGTCAAAGACAATATCCAAGATGATAATAGCCTCTGAAACTCCTTCCTCATCTAGGCTGTGTCCCACGCCCAGAGATCCCTTGCCCTGGCTGCCCCTTACCTGGTTCACCTCCCTGCAGATCTCGCCCACTCGCCTTGTCAGGAGCTGCTGCAGGTGCCGACATTCCGCACCTGGCCCCCCGTCTTCCCTAATCAGGCTTCTAGAAAGGATGGGTCAGAAACAGAATTGCAGTAGGGAGGCATCTGAGTGGGGGAAGGTTCATGGGAACTGGGGCCCAGAGGAACTATGAAAAGGAAGTAGGATTGGACAAAGGGCAGTAAACATGATGGAAAACAGGGAAAGATAAAATTCTCAAAAGCAATTCTGGAGGCCCAGGCTCCTGCTGGCCTCACCAGCTGCCACTGGGGCACCAAACCGAGGCTTCACCCTGCAGCTCACCTCTTCCTTATCCTGAGGTCTTCTTTCTCAGAATGATGGTTTTTCCTTCTCTCAACCCACCCCATCCCTGTCATTAGAGCAGTATTTAAGCAGATGCCTGGGTAGGTTTCCTGGCTCTGCCACTTACTAGCTGTGACTTTGGGTTAAGTAGTTCACTTGCTTGGATTTCTTCATTTATACTATAAGGATAATAATACTTTGTAGGGCTGTTATCCAGATCCATATAAAACACAGGACAGTGCCTGCTACACTGTTAAGGACTTGTTAAATATTACCTGGTATTCCTTCTTTTGAACTGTAGTTGCTTTTAGTGCTCAGTTAAGAGCCAAAATTCCCATCAGTTATTCAATTCCATCAAGAAAGTACAGTGACCAACCAGCTTCCCTATAGGCTGTGGGAAGTGGTCAGGAGCTGCCAACCTCATGATACAAATTAGACCCTTATCCGAACCCTCAGTCCCAAGTTTCAGTCTTTAAGAGCATTAGAGAGGGGTGTTGTGGGAGCAGGAAAAAGAAGCCGACATCAGCGCTGGGGTGCAGGCTTCCACTTACCGTGCATGACCATACACATCCACATGGTCCTGCAGTACCCGCACGATGAGCCAAAAGTCAGGCAGGCAGGGCCCAGAGTGGCCTGAGAGCAAAGGCTGGGGAGGCACTGATCCAGGTGGGGTCCGCAATGTGAAGGGGGCCTTCTCACCCAAGGTCTCATTGGGACCCTCACTGTCTGAACCACTGCTGCCACCATCGTAACCTGTGTCAAATGTGCCAAAGTTCAACAACATCCTTAGTGGGGCTAAGTTCACCTGAGCCTCCAAGTGCATCAGGCTGGATGGGCCCTTCCAGGCTAGTCCCTTCTGATGCCCCTACCCAGACCACCCAGACCACTCCGTATGCAGCCTTAAGTCCAGCTCCCGGCAGCTTAGAATTCCTCACCTCTTTTTTTTTTTTTTTTTTTTTTGGTAGGACCCTCGCCGGTGGCCAGGGAACGAACCTGCGCTGCAGAGGCTGTGCCACCAGGGGAGGCCCAGAATTCCTCACCTCTTACCCCAGCTTACCTAGGTGGTCTGAGTCCATACTGCCCTGACTGGACATGAGGCTTAGTCCCCGGCTGGGTCCAGGTTGACTCCCTGGAAAGAGAAGGGAAACACCTAGAACTGGAGCCTCTCTCAGACCTGCCAAGGACTACCCTCTGTAGGTGGAAGAAGAGCTGGGGATTTCTAAGTCTTTGCTGCCAAGTCCTCTCTTACCTCTCTGTGGCAGGCTGATGAGAGGTGGGCCCTCGGAATCTTCTGGGGAGCCAGGGGCTGGGGGGCTTGCTGTCAGGGCCTGAGGGGCAGAAAGACAGGACTGAGTATAGATCCCACACACACACCCACCTCCATTTCCAGGTGAGCTCAGGAGAGACTTACCTCTCCTTTGACACCTTCAGCCCTGTCATCATGGCTGTGCCAAGCCCAGGCTGCTGAAGGGGGCTCCCCATGGGACCCGCCTGGCTGTTGGCCAGCTGCCACAAAGAAGAAGCCACTGTCAGGGTCCTCAAGAAGAACATGGCCGGGGAGGTGGATGCGTCGGAACTCCTGGGGAGGAGGAGCCAAGGTCACAGTTTAGGTAGGAGTGGCCTTCCTTATACATGGCATCCCACATTCATACTACCTGGTGCAGAAACACAAGCATCCCCAATGCTAAGGTATGAAAAGGTACAGTGACATGCCTAAGGTCCAACAGGCCCAGCGGCTAGGTTGGCAGCTGGGTCTTTGCTCACCAAGTTGGGCTCCCGGCAGGGCATGAGGGACAGACATTATAGTCAGGAAGGGGCAGGAGGAGACATTCTATGAACGCAAACCAACAGAGGGCCTCCATTTCTGGATCTGGTGTCCAGGGAAGGACACACACCAAGGTGACCAGTGAGTGTTCTGAGGGTAACATACCTCCTTGAATTGAGTGAGGGAACGCTCTGGCCCAAACACAAAACTCAGTGGCACAGTGTGGCGAAAGCAGGTGGAGCGTCCAACAGAGCTGTAGATGTGGGCTGCCGCGCGGTGCAGGGCAGGGCTCTGCGGGATACCCCCTCTTCGGAGGGCCCCCACCATCTCATCCTCCAGCAGCCAGCGGATCTACAGTCAGAAAGCAATCCAGGAAGTGACACAGGGTATCTCCCTTGCTGACTGGGGCATCACCTTACATCTTAACTAGAAGATACTAGAAATACTGTTTCACAGACTGAGGGAGGCCTCACTTAACCCCAGAACAAAGGGGTGCCTCACCTCCCGCATGTGCTGAGGGCTGTCACTGTTAAGGGCTGTGGGAGACAAGGGCCTCACCTCATTCATGGTGGTCTCAATAGCTAGTCTGTGGGGTGTGGCCAAGCTGGACAGCCCTGGGTGCCTAATTGGAAGAAAGATACAAATACTAGTTTCATGAAAACAAAACTGAGGGAACAAGGAGCTCTGGGAGGGAGATAAGGAGGTACCTGTCTTCTTCCGGGGGTGGAAATGGGGGGCCCAGGCCATCATCTGACCTTAACGACGAGGGATGCCCTGGGGAACGTGGGAATGAAGCGCTGCTCTCTGACGTTGACCTGCACAGGATGGGGCAAAAGTGAAAGGTCACAGCTACGACCCTCACAAGGTCTCATGAGTGCTCCCTGCTTGCAATCCTTACGGTGCCCTGAGGTCCCCAAGGGCCTCTAATTCTTTAATGGTCCCCCTACCCCAAAAGGGCCCCAGACTCCCCACCAAACTTGCTGCACACCGGTGGTGGTGTGGGTCTGAGGTCGGGGGGAGCTCCACTTCCAGGGGCAGGGTCAGCACGAAGACGTCCAGAGTGACACTGAGGTCCCTCAGAGGAACTCGGCCTGCAGCGGGAGGGCCTTCCAGACTGCAAAGCACCTGGCCTGGGAGAGGGGGACAGTTAGGGACTGCAGGGAGATATGGGACAAGCACAGATTCTAAGTTCTCAGTGCTAAAGAGTTGTGCCCACAGACTCTCCCCGCCCCCAGACAGGCAGGCAGGCTGTACTGGGACCTGTAGCCCTTCTTGGGCACCCCCAAACTCACCCAGGCAGGTGGGCAGGCTACACACGGGGACTGAGCTGTGTTGCCCACGCAGTCGCACAGAGCATGTGAGGTGCAGAAAGAGTGGTGGCAGGTCATGAACGAAGTTCTCAGGTCCAGTGGGCGAGTCACCGCCCAGAATACTGAAGGAGTCTTCATCGGGGTTCACAGTGTCTGCATCTGACAATGAGGTGGAGTCGAGCCCTGTAGGCCCCAGGTCGGGTTCACGGGTCTCGCGGTATTCCACCTCCAGCTCGGGGTCACTCTCAGTGACCACACAGCCGGCGGATGTGTCTCCTAGGGATGCACGTCACAGTCAGTGGGAGGGGTCGGCAGTGGAGGTCCCTGAATCCTGGCATATCCCAGCCTTCCCCACCTCTAGCCGCCCAGCCCCACACACCTTCTTCTCCCAAAAACTCAGCCTCTGAAAACTCCAGGTCACTGACTTTTCTGTCTACTGTGTCCCGGGGGCCCTCATCCTGGGCAAAAGAAACAGTGTGATTCAAGGCAGGACAAAAGCCACACCCAGACCTCAAGGAACTGAGAGTCAGAAGGATCCAGGTGGGCTGGATGGGGCCTCTGGGGTGCTGGTCAGGAGTAGGAGGGAGTAAGCAAGAAGACCACCCACCTCTCGCCTGCTGGATGGAGGGCAGAAGAAGAAGTAGTGGGGATTGGAGGGCACTGTACGGAAGTGGAGACCACTGATCTCCAGGAACTTCTCCTGTTTGGGGGTTAGAAGGAGGCCAGGATGTCAGTCACTGCTCAGCAGAACACCACTGCTACCCTCCAACATACATGTATGCAGCCCAGCCCAGGGGAGAGCAGTGCCCCCTGGCACAGGCAGGGCTCCACCCTTTTCAACATGCACCATATCCCTCACCTGGATGAGGCTATGCAGGGCTTCGTGTGCTTCTCCTTGGAGCTGGCAGATGTCCGTCAGACAGATCTCCAGGCCAGGGTCCAGACTGCCAGGGATGCGGGTGCTCTGAAACTCAGGCTCACTGAGGTCCTCAGTCTCTATGCTGAGTGGTGGGAGTGGAGGGGTGGGGGGGATTAAGAACCAGCAAGGCCCAGATGAGCCTGCTTCCCAACCGGGAGCGCATGTTCCCGTCTGCCTTTGTCTCTAGGGAGGGTGCTTAGCACAATGGCGTGGGCAGGGGAAGAGGCAAAGAGAACCAACCCAGACATTTTGGCCTGAACCGTAACATTTGTTAATGGCCAGGCACCTCTGATGCAGATGGAGGAGTAGAGATTACTCTCAGTTTTCTGACTTGGACCACTGGGTGGAGGGTGATAACATTCACTGAAGATGGAGAACCCAGGTTTGGTGGGAGAATGAAGGTTTGGTGGGAAGAAAATACATCCACTTTAGGGACAAGGCAGGCAGGGAGCCAGAGGTCCAAGCACAACGTGGGCTGGAGTTTGGGTCTGGCAGCCACGAGCCTACTTACCCTCTGCTTCCTCTATATGCACAGGCTGCAGATGCCAGCCAGAGTTGACTGCCTGCTTGCCTTCGCCCTCCCTTCAGCAGTAAGCTGATGGGCCCCTAAGATGAACTAGGGACTCAGCGGTGGGCAAAATACAGTTTTTGCCTCTATGAATCTCAGATGAACTCGGGGATTACTACTTTTGTATGAATGTCCTCAGAACAAGCTTCTGCTTTACCGAGGGCTATGGGGGAACTCCCTACTCTACCCTGGTTCAACACTATACCACAACAGGAGCCATGGGAGAGGCAGGGAGGCAGAAGGGGAGAAAGAAGCTGAGCAGGAGGTGGGCAGCCAGCACACCCATGCCTCTGGGTAAAAGGTCCTGGCTTATGGGACTTTATGTGCCACTTTACATGTCACTCAAGGACAATCCCACCTGGACTCTGAAGCCAGAACAGCTCGTTCCCGAGGCTCGGGGCCCTCTTCAATGCTGCTGCTGAAAGGCCCGGGGCTGAGAGGACCAGGGCTCGGTGGTGCATGAGGCAAACCCTGAGTGTAGCCACACAGTGCGAGCAGAAAGGGAGTGATGTCTACTTCTTGTAGAAGCTCCTCACAGGCATCTACTGCTGTCAGCAAGTCCTGAGAGGTCACACTCTGTCCTTGCTGCAAGCTCCGGAACAGGCCTGAGGGAAGTGGAAGGGGCCACAAGGATCAAGCTCGGGAACCACCTCTCTGTTCCTCATCAGTAATCCCAGCATCTCCTCCGGCAGGGTCCCATTCCTCCCGGAAGCTCCCTCACATGGCCTCCCGCTCACCGCGGACATAGCAGCGCTGTGCGTGTTCCTGTAGCAAGGCGCAGTGGTTGGCTGCCTCCTTGTACCTGGGCTCCATCCAGACAGAGGATGGGGAGGGCTGGTCAAGGAACTGAGTCCTGGGAATGGGAGGAAAGTGAGAGCTTGGCCAACTCCCCCAAATGACACCTCAGACTTATTCTATTCTCCAATGGATTGTCCACTATTCTCCAATGGATTGTCCATAGGTCCCTACTGAATGGATTTATAGCCCACCAAAGTCAACTAATTTTTTGAAAGAAGCTCAGCAAGACTCTGGTAGCACATGGCTAAGATGAGTTCCTGCCACTGACCCTCAACCTGTCCACACGTGTGAGTGGGTACCTGAGCCTTGGCTGCGGGCCTGAGTTGAGGGATGGGGGAAGGACCTCGGTCAACTCTGAGGGCACTCACCGGAAGATGAGATCTCGGGGTGGCTGAGGGGGCTGTATGCCAATCATTTGCTCCCGCAGTGCTTCCAGGGCACAGCTATAGATGTAGACAGGACACCGGGTCCGGGGCCCATCCGCACCCTCTGCCTGTGGAGCCTGACGCCCAGTATAAGCCTGTACATCCCGACGTGAGCTCAGCTCTTCTGGATTCTGGGCACTGTCTGTGGGAAGAGGTAGCACATGGTCTTCAAGTCCTCTATTTGTTCCCATTTCTGCACCTGCATATCTGACTTTATTCGAGAGTCTTACCACTGGCTGGGGTAACACTGAGGATGGGGACCTGGGCCTTGGGAGCCTTGACCCCAGTTCCTCCTAGATCTTTTGGGCTGGGAGTCCCACTCAAGTCCCCGGACTTAGGCTTTGTCTCCTCCTGAGAAGGTCCCTCCAGGCCATAGGCGGCCAGATGCTGGACGTCTGAAGAGGAAAAGAGAGACCTAAATCAGAGTCGCCTGATAGGCGGTCAAGGGAGTTCTGAGATATGTTTCTGAGAGGCTTGTTTCTGAGTGAGGGAGCCAGCAGCTGGGTACCTGAGAAGGTTGCTGGGAGGAAAGTCAGAAATACATGCTGGGGGGTCACGAGCCTGGCATAGCAACGCCACTGAGGGGGCTGTGCAGAGATGAGAGGCTTGAGAGTTTCAGGAGGGCCTGCACTCTGTAAGAGAGAAACCACATTAGGGCGATCTCTATGGCAACATCCAACCTCCACCCCCTTCTTTCACCCTGGAGTCCAATCTTAGGTATAGCATCAAAGTTCTAGGACAAAGGGGGTGTCTTTTCTGGCAGAGGTGCTTACTATACAGGGTGATGGAAAGTTGGGGTATGAGTATGTGGTGATGTAAAGAGGTAAGTAGGAAAAGGGCTCAAGGAGATGACTCAGTGCTGACCAGGGCAGGAAGAGCAGAGTCTCCAGAGGCCTGGGCACTGCTAACTGCTGGCTCCTTCAGGATCCCATAGCCACCCACTGGTGGCTCCTCTGGACCTACAATGCAGGTAGAGATTGGGGGAGGTGGGCAGGCCCAGCAGAGAGGCAGGGCTCTGCTGTGAAGAGAGGGGAAGAGGACAAGACAGAAACCACCCTATGGGGTGGGGGAAAGAGGCTGGGCTGGTCAGGGAAGAGGTGGGAGCTCACCTGGACCATGGCAGGTCCGCCGCAGCACTTCATGGAAGAAGGTCGCCTGGTCAGCCAGGGTGAGTGGGATCTCCCGGTCACTCAGCTCCTGCCCCAGGCAGCTGTGCAGCAGGCACAGCACCATGTCGTTGGCGGGACAGGGCCCCTCGGCGAGGGGGACGCCCTCTGGCTCTGCCCGACACACACTCCGCTCAGCACCAAGAACCTCCACTGCCCAGTACCCCTGGCTCAGCCCTGACCAACAAAGCCCCTCCTTTGGCCTCTATGCCACCTCCTGACCCCATCACTCATGTGCTCATTTGCAGACTCATCTGCTCAATATTCTCAATACTCTTAGGCTTTTGGCCTTCTGGGTGTGGGTTAAGTGGGTACAAAGTTCACCTACCTCTGGAGAGCAGGAGGAAAAACATCTGGAGCTGCTGGCACTGAGGCAACAGACCCATTAGGTCAAAGCGGAAAGGGATCTCATGAACACAGGAGTCTCCTCCCTGGTCTAATCCTAGGAAGGAGGGACAGAAGACATGGCTACATGGAGACCCAGTACCATGATTGGGGTTGCTTCCTCTCCTCCCATTCCCCTGTTCCATCCAGGGGACCCTTCCCCACCGACCATCAGAGATCCTCATCTCTGGGGGCAGGGGGCTCCATTCCTTGCTCTGGCACAGCTGGATGAGGTATTCGAAGCTCAGCATGGAGCCTATGCAGGCCACGTCCCGAGGGTGCAGCTAGGGAAAGAGCCACGGTCAGGGTCAGTCCTTCCCAGTCCAGAACACCTGGCAACTCCAGTTCTCAAAGAAGCCCACAGTCACAGATATTCAGAACACAGAGAACCAGAGGGACCAGGCAGCCCTCAGAATATAGTACTCCAGAGGAGATGGCCCCCAACCTAGCAAGGGGTAGGGTGCTTCTGAGGTCACTCACTGCTCTTGGGATCTCAGCGTATGTCAAGTCCTGGAGATGCTTCCAGGTTTCAGGGCCAGGTCCCACTCGTCCATACTGTGGCTCCACCCACACCTCAGTGACCAGGTTGAGCTCTGAGTCTCCCTCTAGGGCCTCCACTTCCACATCATTGTCATCATCTGTTGAGAAACTAAAGGAGGAAGGGCCATGAGCCTGGGAGAGAGGAGAGTCCCATTCACAACTGCATGACAGGGAGTCAGTCCATAGAGGACAGGAAGGTGGTGGACACAGAGGACATCCACAAGCCACAGGTGGCCCCTCCACACCTGCGTCTGCCTGATAAAGCATCTGAAAACAGTACCTCCTGCCTCAACTCTCCCTGGTAGGGGAGAAATAACCTTCAGGGGAGCAGGGAGAATGTGGACAGACAGCTCTCAGGGAGAATGGAGGGTCTCACCTGTCTTTGGTGGAGGTAGAGTGTGGGGGGAAGAGGATGTACTGGACAACGCACGTGTGCCTCTCTTCCACAGCAGCCTGTCCCGGGGGCTCATTCTGTGGGTAGAGTGGGAGAGCTTGGGCAAAACCAGCCAAAGCAGAGAGCTGATCTGGCCCAGTTCTGACCCTCAGAATTTCAGGCCCTTGCCTCTGGCCTGGACCTGGCCTCAGGTCTTGTGTCCTCTGATCACAGGGTTTCTGGGAGGCAGAATTTCCAGCAGTTCCAAACCAGCTCAGAGACCGGTATCCCTGGTGTGCTGACAGACTTTGATGGGGAGGTGTTAGGAAGAACAGAACATACCTGAATTGGAAGCTCCAGGACCATGTTGATGATTCCTTCCCCGCTGCTGGCGAAGTGGAACCCTTCAGAAAGCCGGACCCTGAAGTCCCATGGAGGCAGGGGCAGGGATAGGATGAGATGGAGGAGACACTCGGAGCATGTCCTCTGCCCTCCATACCACTTATACATCAACCTTCCAGCAGCCATCAAGGTTATCTGTTTGCGGGCTGCTGATCAGCCTACCGGTCCCTCGGGTATTAACAGTTCATTAGGACCAGAAGCAAAATAAAATAGGGGGGTTGGGGAGCACTACCAGCAGTGGCAGTAGAGACTGGTGTTTAGAGAGGGCAGCGCCTGGCTTAGGTTTTCTGCAGAGCCCAAACCCAGAGCCCAAAACCGCTCTCCCCCACCCCATGTTGCCCGGCAGGCTTGGCTGACGTACTCAGTTAGCACAGAGAGGAGCTGGGCGATGGCACTGAGTGGCAGTGCGGGGGCCAGTCCTGAGGGCACACTCCAGAGCCAGCGCTGATGATACAGGTAGCGGGAGAGTGACGCTAGGCTGGAAGATGCAGAGCGGCCTGACACCAAGGGCAGTGGCCCTGGTGGCTCCAATGTCAGCAGGAAGGGGGCCCTGTAGTCCAGAGGTAGCTTCTCATACCTGGGAAACCACACCCAGCTAAGCCACAGCCTGCAATATGCTCCCGGCCCCTTCTCCACCCTCCATACCTACCTGATGAGGAGCTTGTCCAGTGGTTTATGCAGGACCACTAGGCAGGGCCGGTCAGAGAGGGCCTGCTGTGGCCCCAGTGTGGGGGGAGACTTGGAGGGAGAGCTGCCCCCTGCAACACCCCCCAGTCCTTTCCGTTTCACTTTGGGTGTTGGTTCCTTGCTTTGCACCCGGTGCGGGAAACGCAGCCGTAGGATCTCTTCCTGTAAGCCCGACACGATCTGAGGGAAAATGGGATCTCCCTGAAGCTCTGGAAGGAGAGGCCCACAGACAAGAAGAGGCTCTCTCGCTTTCTAGGGCCCCAGCCCTGTGGGGTCTGGAAGGAGGCAGTCTCCACTCCCAGGCTCCTTGGCCGGGCAGTCAGGCAGGGCCCAGCTCACCTCGTGCCGGGCCTGTGCCGGGGTGCCGATGAGAAAACCCAGGCGAAGAACCATGCAAGGGGCCTTGGAAATGATGCGGACCATGTAGAAGGAGGAGGGGGGCTGGTCTGGCGCGCTGGAGAGAAATGGGAGTCAACGAGCAGCCCTAGGTTAGGAGTAAGTGGGTTCAGGAGGAAGTAGGGAGAAACTGGGGGGTAGGAAGAGACATGGAAGGGGTGCAAGGGGAGAGTGAAGGGATGCTGCTTGGCCCACCTGGAGAGCAGCTTCACATAGGAATAGCCCTCAACCAGCACGAAGCTGCTCCAGTCGCGAAGCAGAGAGGTCAGCGAGGAGTGGGAGATCCTGCACTGGACGGTGCTGTAGCGCCCGTTGCTGCCCGGGGTGTGCAAGTGCTTGGGGATTGGTCTGAGAAGAGGGGCACACAGTGAAGTCAGATCTAGCCCCAATTTGGGGGAAAAAAGTAGACGGCTACCTCTCTCTTCTGGGTGCTAAGGATTGGGGGGCTGGTGAGCATGAAGACTAGGAAAGGGAGAGTCTTTCCCTGGTGGAGGCTGGTAAGGGCTCATTCACTGCTCCCCTTCTCCACCCCTCCCTCCCCTCTCCCAACTGCTCCTCCACTCTAACTACGGTCCTGAGGAGGGTACGCACGTGTCATGCTCCAGGATTAGTACCAGGCGGTGCATATGCAGCCAACGCTGCCATGAGTTCGCGTCCATGGACAGCACTGGCTTCCAGTAGGCAGCAAACTGGGCATGGGATGAGTCGGAACCACTGTGCTGAAGGGAGAGCACCTGAGGACAGGAAGGAGCCCTATAGGAACATTTGTGGGAGCCAGGGTATAACCTCCAAATGGAAATGGGACTACAGCACTCAGGGGGCAGAGATGGCCGTAGTTTAAAGTTACGGAAACCTATGGCCCAGCCTGGGACAGAGGCAAAACCACTTCCAATACGAATGCTAGCTCAGGAGGTATGAGCCCAGGGACAGATGTAATTTGCGAGGTGAAGGATGTAATTTGCCGTACTCCAGCAGTGACTCTGGAGGAGACACTGGGTAAAGGCAGGACTGCAGGATAAGGCCACTCTACACCAGTATGCGCCTCCTGTACATCAGTGCTAGGCTGGCAGCCTTGAGTCAAGTGTGGACTATGCACAGAACAGAGGAAGCTCTGTTTGGAAATTTTTGGTGGTTGGCTGTGGTGGGAAAAGGGAGGCCAAAGTATGCCACATGGAGAAGGGGCAAGGGAGCTGCAGTCTGCAGGGGCACTACCACCTAGCATTCTATACATCTTTACCTCTGACATCCATGGCCTGCTGAAGATAGCCACAGCCTCTCTCTCTACAGATCCTCTCCACAACTCCCACTGCCCAATGCCCCAGGGCTTGAAAGGAAGGAGAACTTTTCTGAAGCTTAAAGTTTAGGGTGCTGGTTTGGGAAGGAAAAAGGTGGTCTGGCTTCAGGTGCTGTGACAGGATTTAAGAAGCATCAGAGTCACTTACTGGGGTGGTGGAGCCAGGAGGGATGTAGAAGAGGGGCACGCCGCTCTTGGTGCTGTCTGGAAGCGTGAAGTGTTCAGGGACTGAAGAGAAGGACTGGAGGTGGGCTAGCATCTGGTCCGTTTGGTTAATGCTGTAGGACAAGGGCCAACTGAGCTACACCTGACTGGTGGCCGTAGAGGAGAGGAATCTGGGGGAGGGACCCTAAACAGAGGTCTGGTGCTCAGTGTGACTCTCCAGCCCCCAGCTTCACCAGTCTGTCCCTCCACACAACAAATGGGATGTCACTCTCCAAGTGGTTATCTCATTCACCTCTGCAGCGTGTTCCAGAACCGCCGGATAACATGGGTCCGATATAGAGAGCGAATGGGCTGCCTTAGTGCACAGGACACATCATGCAGAATGTCATAGCCGCCTTCCATTGTCACTTCCACCCGTGTTCCTCGAGGGCCCTCAGGCTCCAGGGGCCAGGGTGCCATAGCCACATACTCGATGCGCATGTTGTGTTTCCACAGCAGTACCAGTTTCACCTCCAGCTGGGAGCCTCCTTCAGGGGAAGCAGGCGGGTCAGTTAGGGGAAGAAGGCATAGGACTCCAAGCATGCGACCGAGTCCCACCCCAAGCCCCTACTATCCGTGTGGAACTCTACCCTGGCCAAAGGTTCCAAGCATCGGTCCACACATTCAGGCCCAGAGCCTGCCAACTGACATGTACAGAAGTTTACGGGAGTTAAGCAAACTGAACCAAACAAGCACACGACCCTCAGCTGACTTGCCTTGGGCAAGGGGAGATAAGATTGGGAAGCTAAATACTCAGAGAATAAGCCCTGAAGACAACTCAAAACCCACTTGTCTCAAGTGACAAGCAGAATCTTTCATTGAGACACTTTCATGCACAAAACATGTGTCCTCCACCCTGCTCAGGAGGTCCTACCCCAGGCAAGGCCTGAGACCAGTGGGCAACAGGAGGGTTAGTGACCATTACCTTTGGCCAGTGTGACCTCTCGGACACTGTAGCCTTCTCGAAGTCGTACAGAGACGGTGCTGACCAAGTCAGCCAGCACCTCCTTCTCAGTGTGCTTCTTCCGGCGCAGGGCCAAGGCAGGGTTGCTGCTGGCGGAGACCAGGTGCTCGTTAAAGAGGCGGTGCTGAGAGCCTAGGGGCCAGAGAGAATGGGGAAGAAAAAGTGGTTCCCTGTCAACTGGCAGAGCTCCAGGGGGAAGAAGAACAGTGTCAGGGTTGTCCCAGAGGGCCCCACACCCTAGACTGATTCCTGTATCATCTCTGGGTCCATTCACTCCCTGTTCCTCACCCCCATCCCAGTCTGCCTCTCACCACAGTAATATTCAGGGTTCAGGGCTTCCCCGCTGCGCAGGAATGAGTAGAGGAGAAAAGCCCGGTGGTAGACAGTCAGACCCTGGTTGCCTGCCTCGGGTTCAGGACAAGTGGACAGGTAGGAGCCAAATGTTGCCATCGCGATGAACTTCATCAATTCCACATTGGGCACATGGCCGAAACTGCAGTCATAAGAGTAAACTCCTCCCACCTGCAGAAAGTGAGCAACTGGAGATCTAGCTTCAAAACAGGCACCAGGAAAGGAAGGACAACACGGGAGGAAGAGACTGGGTGGGTGGCTACTCCCAACCCTGAGACCACAGAGTAGTAAATGGGCTAGTGTTCTCCCAGGACAGACTACTGCTCTGCAACTTTTCTTCCCTGGGTCTTCCTGTCTGAAGTTCCTGACATCTGGCTATACCCTCTTTCTCAACATTAGATACTGGTCTGCCCCCCACAACCCCAATTTACTAAAAATGCTGGCAACTGGTTCATTGGCTTTTCAGTATCATCTTGAGAAACTTCAATGTCTCTCTATCACAGTGCTTCCCAAATTTTAGGATGCATACAACACTCCTAAGGATTTTGCTAAAACGCAGTAGTCAAATTTGATGTTTTTAACATGCTGGTGATGCTAATGCTGCTGATTTGTGGACCATAGCTGGAATATTGAGACTGCAGATCAGAGATCAGCAAACATGACACTTCGGTCTAATCTAGCCCATCGTCTATCTTTTTTTTTAAAGATTCATTCATTTATGCACACATGAGCTGGGGTACAGGCCAGAGATGCGGGCGGTGAGAGGATTCACCAGAGACAGAGTGGGGAACAGAACAAGCAGACTGACTGAAACACAGCGCTGAGGGGAGCCGCAGGTGAGACAGGAGAGGTCTGCTACGCCATGTGGGTTGCTCCCTGGCTGGCCGAGGATCGAACTTGTGCTGCAGAGGCTGCGGACCACTTCATAGTGCAGTGCTTAACCCCTTGCGCCACCAGGAAGGCCCCCCATCATCTATTTTTATAAATAAAGTTTTATTGGAACAGTCACACCCATTTTTTGGTTATTTATGTCTGCATTTATGCTATAAGAGGAAAGGCTCAGTATAGACAGTCCTGACTCAAGAGGATTAGATTTATAATCTTTTAACATTACAATAGTTTGAGAATGACACACATTCAGTACAAACCGCACGATGAGTTTTGGCATTCTATTTTCACTTTCAGTATATATTTCAATAAATTACATGGAATAGTCAACATTTTATTATAAACTAGGTTTTGTGTTAGATGATCTTGCCTAACTGTAGGCAGGCTAGTGTAAGTGTTCTGAACATGTTTAAAATAGTGAGGCTAGGAAGCATAGCTAGGCTAAGTTACGATGTTTGGTAGGTTAGGTTTATTAAATACATTTTCAACGTACAATATTTTCAGCTTATGATGAGTTTATCGGAATGAAACCCCATTTTAAATCAAGGAAGAGCTGCAGGTGTGACCAGCAAAGTTTAAAATATTTACCAGCTGGCCCTTTGGAGAAAATGATCGCAGATCTTTCTAGATGGCTCATTCAATTCCTGAACTGTTTCTGAACCCTAATCTCCAGGACTTTTCTCTATTCCACATACCTCACCACTGGCTATACCCAGGAATTACTTACCAGGAATTACTTCATCTTACCAGGAATTACTTCATCTCTGCAATTTCAATTGCTATATCCCACTGATCGCACACAACCTTATCCTTTAAGTTCCTTCCACCCTCCTTATCCTACTGCTTTTTGGGCTTACTGAGACAGCCAGGCCTTGGGCCTCTGCTCTCCCCAAGTCTATCCACATCCTCCTGATCTGCCAACCAAGGCTGAAATTTGTGTTCAAGCAAATTCATAAGTGTCATTCCCAACTCCCTGGTCTCCTTCACTATTTTCTGCTTGCATGTCAAAAACACAAGGGTCACAGCCTCTATGCCTTAATCCCCAATGGAAAAAACCACACAGGTGTGTAGGCTGGTGCCACATCAAAACATACACCACCCAACCCAGCTGTTGTCAATACCATTCCAGCTCTGGCCTTCCTATCTCACAGCACTCATCTTCACTTTTGACTTCGGAGAAATTAGGGATCCCTGGCTGAATTTATCTACATTTTTTATCCTTCTAGTCTCAAAGAAAAGACGTCACTCTCTTGTTCCAAAAGAGTCATTTTTTACCTCAAGGTGACCTCAAGTTCACTTTTATACCATCTGGCTTCCTTTTCTTTCCCTTATTTTCAAACTCTGCTTCACCATGGAGCCTCAGAAACATGCCATAGTTTCTAGTTTAAAAAAAAAAAACTAATCAAAAAACAGAATGAAACTACTCTCTCCTTCCATCCTACACTTCCCTCTGGGCTACCATTCTCACACTCATCCCCACTTGATGTGAACAGCCAGGCATTTTTAAAAAAAATTTTTAAAAAGATTTATTTATTTATGCATACCAGAACTGGGGGACAGGCTAAAGGTGTGGGGGGTGAGAGGATTTACCAGAGACCAAGTGGGGAACAAACAGGCAGATTGACTGAAGTACACTGCTGAGGGGAGTAGTCAGGAGAGGTCTGTTGCGCCATGTGGGTAGCTCCCTGCCCGGGGATTGAACCCCTGCTGCAGTGGCTGCGGAGAGCTAGCTTCATAGGTTGCGTCTTAACCCCTTGCACCACCAGGGAAGCCCCAGCCAGGCATTTATTAAGAAATTATACAATGTGCTAAGCACTTTAAATTATGCACTGCCTCATCCAATGATTCCAACCAAGAAGTGAATATTACACAAAATGGGGCATAGCGTCAGGTCAGGCATGCCTAACTTCAAAGACTGTTTTTAATTGCTATTTGGTTGACCTACAGGCACAACGTGCACAAACATGGATTTATAACTTGTCTTCCTCTACCCCAAATGCTCCTCTTCTTGTCAGCTCTACTGCCTCTATGTAGTCATCGCTGAGATCAGAAACTTGGAGATCTTCTTAACTCCCTTCTCCCTCACTCCTCCCACAGCTCGCTAATCATGTCTGTTGATTCTGCCTCATCATATTCTCAATCCTAGCCCCTTCTTTCATACCCTTTATTTCCCTTATTTAAGTCCCAATTCTCTCTCACCTGCCTGGTACAATTAATAGCTGCCATTCTTACCCTTCACCCAGTAGTACAAGTGATTTTATGAAATGTAAACACAACTAGTGACTTTTCTCCTCTATATCTACACTATGCAGAATGATACTGCAACTCATTGACACGGCAGGTCTGTGCCTGCATTCCAGATTTGTTTGCCATGCTTTTTTGCCTCCTGCTCTGTAGTCCTTTGATTCAAATTGGCTGAGGATATACTCAGGTGGCCCTATTCCCTGTTTCTTAGAATAAGAGATCAGCTCCTGCAAAAAAGTTACCATCTTTGTGAGATACCACGCTTCTCTCGCTTTACCTAGAAAGTCCTCACCTGCACAAAGGAACAGGCCACAGTGCCACTGCGAAGCTGGTTCAGCAAGGTTTCACAGACAGCAACATCAGGGACGCTGGTCACCCCATCTGTGATCACAATGATGCCTGGAGCAGGAAACAGCAGACTCAGGATGCTAAAGGAATAACAGTAACAGGGAGGCCAACTGATAGGCCCCTGAGGACCTCAGAGTATGTCAACCAGTGTGCTTTATAATTCTCAAACACCTTTCCTTCTCTCCTTCTCTGAGCCTCCTCCTCTCAATGTTGGAGGTCAGTCTCCTCCTAAGTGATGTCCTTGGAGCTCTGCTCCTTCCCACTAGGGTCCTGAGGTTCTGATGATTATCAGAGGTGGGGGTAACTGTGATATATATTAAAGTATGCACTTACCTTTACAAACCATGAAAAAGATCCTCTGCCCCGGGCCCAATGATATCCTGGAACCTCTATCTTTGCAGATAATGCCCCCCCCCCCCTTCCTGAATGCTATTTCCCCAATCCCACCGACATTATTTCTACTGACCTGCACTAGAGTTTGAGGGCAGCAACTGCAATGCCAAGATGCCCTGACGAATCATACTGACCAGTCCAAGATCAGCTGTCACCATGGAGACTCCCACCTTCCGGCCTGGGGGCTCCACAGAGTCTGGGGACTGGTCCTCTGCCTGGCACAAGTTATACAACAGAACGGGACACATGACATTGCTGCCCCATCCACAGTAAAGTCAGAATTTATAACCTGGCACTGCCATAGCCTATTCCTGTAAGGACTCCAACCCCTATTATGCAACAGAGACCAAACTGTGCTCCCCGCCAATGTATGCTCATATTGTGACCCTCAGAGGAACACAATGAGTTCAACACCAGAATGTACTTGAACAGGGCTTTTTACCTTTTGCCAATAAGGTCCCTTTTCTATATTTCTGCATCATCTTTATGAGATATTTAATATACCAATCCACTTAAAACCTTCAGACATGAGGAACTGCCATTTCCCTGGATATCTGAGGATATCCAAAAGAATGAGTCAATGCCTTCTAGTGAGCCCATGGGCTGTATCCCTGATTGTACAAAATATAAACCAGGGATCAGAGGCACCCAGGATCACCTTCTTGGATCCACTGGGGAAGAAGACCCAGGACTGACTGAAAAAAACACAAGCACCAGCCTTCCCATTTTCTGCCGGCAGGAATGTGTGTCTTAGGGAATGTATCTGCGCCCTCCTCCAACAGGAAGCCTGTTCATGTGCACTCACTCTGCTCCTGGCCCTTCACCCTTTTGTCTGCCCTCTTTCCCTTGGGGTTCAGCTTGTCCCTCCTCACTCCCCTTGAGTCACAACAGTTCCTCTTTCTATGTGGCCTCCACCCAGGCTCTCTCCTACATACCTGGCTCTGGGGGTCATACTGCTGCTGCAACATGGTGGCCACCTTATCCTCGAAGAGGCAGAGCTGCTCATATACCTGCTGCAGGAACATGTCCCGCTGGGAAGGGTCCAAAAGGCAGCCCTGTACCAGCACCTGAGAAGCACAAGGGAAAGACTGAGACATTAAGATTAAGGAGACATGAAAGTCAAGGACCCTGGACACTGTTCCAGTTTACTTTCCATAGCTTCTTCCAGGCAATCCTAATTCCCACCCAACTAGGACCAAAGGTTGGCTAACTTTACATCCAGTTTCTTCTTTATTGATCACCTACTCCCTAAATCCTTAGCTTAGGGTTTACCCTATCACTGCTTGGCGCACTCTTATCCCTACCACTATCTAAATCTGGTTGATAATTTTCCTCTGCTTAGTCCTCCACATTTGGATTCCATAGTTTCGAAATCAGGGTATCATAAGATCGTCTAACTCCTTCCACCTTACCAGACATTGTCTATAAGCTGCTCAACCTCAGCCTGGCAGTCTGTTCATTCTGACTCACACTTTTTTTATTCTTGTTTAACTTCTAAGCATGCACACACAGGCTGTTCTGGACCTTTCCTTTCTTCTAAAGCTCAAAATCTTCTTATTCCACTAATGGCTTCTTCCTTCTCTGTACTCTCAGCAGACACCACTGACAGAGACAGGATTCCAGTCAACAGTTATATCCCACTTATCCTAACCCTGAGAGTATACTATTCTCCAACCCACTGAAAATATCCACATTGTATGCTAGATATTTGTTTAAGATTTATTTATACATACAAGAACTGGGGTATAGGCCAGAGATGTGGAGGTGAAAGGATTCACCAGAGAGAGTGGGGAGCAGAATAGGCAGATCTACTGAAATACAGTGCTAAGGGGAGCAGTGGGCAAACCAGGAGAGGTCTGCTGCGCCATGTGGGTTGCTCCCTGGCTGGCCAAACTCCTGCTGCAATGGCTGGCGACTGCTTGAGAGCACTGTGTCTTTAACCCCTGCGCCACCAGGGAGGCCCTGCTAGATATTTAAATCTGTCTGTGCTCCTATTTTTCCTTTGAGGTACTACTGAAGATTCCTCTTTTTCCATAGGGTTTCTTCCTTTCTACTTTTTTTTTTTGAAGATTTATTTATTTATGCATACCAGAACTGGGGTACAGGCCAGAGGTGTGGGGAGTAAGAGGAGTCACCAAAGACAGAGTGGGGAGCAGAACAGGCAGACTGACTGAAATACACTGCTGAGGGGAGCAGTGGGCAAGTCAGGAAAGGTCTACTGCACCTCTTCCTTTCTACTTTTAATAGAAGTAAGTAAGTGCCCCTGTCAGAAAAATGTAATATAGGCCTGCTGGCCCCTGGGGTGGCCCTAAGGATTGCTCTTCCCTTTCTCCACCAGACTCCTATACCTGTCTCACATACCCACTCTGTCTCCTAAAACCTTACCCTCCTGTGCAACAATACTTCTTCACTCCTTCCTCAGACCTGGGTAAGTGCTTGATGATAGCCGGAGAGGGAAGAGGGGGGCTCTATACCACTCAGCAGGACTGATTGTGAGAGGAAAAGCAGAATCAGAGGAAGAGTAGGAACTGGGCTATAAAAAAGTGAGAAAACGGGTCTTCCCTGGTGGCGCAGGGGGTTAAGACGCAACCTATGAAGCTATCTGCAACCTCTGCAGCATGAGTTTGATCCCCAGCCAGCCAGGGAGCAACCCACATAGCGATGCAGACCTCTCTTGACTGACTCGCTGCTCCCCTCAGCAGTGTACTTCGGTTAATCTGCCTGCTCTGTTCCCCACTTGTCTCTGGTGAATCCTCTCACCCCCCCACATCTCTGGCCTATACCCCAGCTCTTGTATGCATAAATAAATAAATTTTTTTAAAGATTTATTTATTTATTTATACAAGCACTGGGTACAGTCAGAAGCGCGGAAGGGTGAGAGAATTCACCAGAGCCAGAGCGGGGACCAGAACAGGTAGACTGATGAAATACACTGCTGAGGGGAGCAGTAGGCATGGCAGGAGAGGTCTGTTGCACCATGTGGGACCCTCGCCGGCGGCCGGGGATCGAACCGGTGCTGCAGAAGCCGTGGGCAGCTTTGCAGCCCAGCGCTCAACCGCTGCGCCACCAGGGGAGGTCCAAAAAATAAATCTTTAAAAACAAAAAAAGTGAGAAAGATGCTCACAGCTGTATTGTTTCACTCTTCCAGAGTGAAAATTGGGACAACCCAAGTGTCCAACAACAAAGGTCTGGTTAAGTATATAATAAAAGATGATACAATCACATTTTCAAAGAATATTTAGTGACACAGAAAAATGCTCACATGATACATTTTAAAAAGTAGGATGTAAAATTGAGTGTTTGAAATGATTCTGATGTGTCTCCTCTCTTTGGAAGGAGGGTGGTGATGAGGGAGAACGACTATAGACTCACAAACAAGAAGGAGATTCCATAAAATGTTAATAGTAATTATCTTTGGAAAGTATATTAGGGATGACTTTTGTTTTTTCTTAACATTTTATGTATTTTTCAAATTTCCTTCAATGGCCAGTTATATAAAAGTGATTTAATTTTTTTTTTTTGTTTTTTAAAGAGCAGTAGGATATAGCTTGAGGGATTTGAGAGATGATGAAGAAGCTGTCTTGGGGTTGACAAGTGGCCCTAGGGCTCAACTAAGTCCTTTTCTTCTCCACAGCTGCCATCCTTGTTCAGGCCTCATCTCTTCTCCCATCCTGCAATAATCTTCAGCCTGTTCTTCCCACATCCACACTTCGTCCCCCAATCCATTCTCCACTCTGGCCGCAAAAAAGTGTCATCTCCCTAATGTACAAATCTGATCCTGTTACTGTCCATTAAAACCTTCAATGGTTTCCTACTATCTATGGCTAATAGTTTTAATGGCTAATAGTTTTAATAGCTAACATTTGCACATTTTCTATGTGGCAGATATTGTTTTAAGTGCTTGATATGTATGAATTCAATCACCATAAGTACTATTAATATGTCCATTTTGGAAAACAGCTATTTTCCAAATACAGATGCACAGAGAGGGTAAGTAACTTGCTTAAAGGCACAAAGTCTATTGACTTTGTGGTTCAGTCAGAAAGCAAATATATGCAATATGATTCCAGATCCAGCGTTCTTAATCACACTAAACTCCCTTAAAAAATAAAGTATAAGTCTTTAGTCATTATATTCAAGGTCTTTCATAATCTGGCCCCAATCTACCTCTCCAGTCTCACTACCTCCACACAAATTCCCACATTTAAATGCTACTGTGTCACATGGAATAACATGTAGTTTCCTAAAGCACCTGTGGTTGAGAACACAGCCTCACTGCTTTATGTGTTTGCTTTTGCTGGCCCCTCTGCCTGGAAAGCCCACGTCCCCTTCTTTATTTTATTTTATTTTTTTTAAAAGATTTATTTATATATGCATACAAGAGCTGGGGTGCAGGTCAGAGATGTGGGGGTGAGAGGATTCACCAGAGACAAGTGGGGAACAGAACAGGCAGACAGACTGAAATACACTGCTGAGGGGAGCAGCAGACGAGATAGCAGATGTCTACCTCGCTATGTGTGTTGCTCCCTGGAGGGCCGGGGATCGAAACTCATGCTGCCAAGGCTGTGGATTGCTTCATAGTGCAGTGCTTTAACCCCCTGTGCCAACAGGGAGGCCCCTAACGTCCCCTTCTTTAAATGGTTAACCTCAATTCTCCCTTGAAGACTCAATTTAAATGTCTTTGTCCAAAAATCATCCCTGTTGCTGCCCTGGGTTTGCCTGGGTGTTTCCATATCACTGGATTCATAACTTAATAGTGCCCTTACTGCACTCAACTGAAAACTAGCTCCTTAATATCTGTCTCCCCCACTAAATTCTCAACTCCTCTCATGAGGATAGGGATAGTATCTGATGCATCTGTCTTCTGGACCTAGTCTAGGCTTAGGATAGACAGGCTTCAGGAAGTATTTCCTGAATGGAACCAAGTATTGAGTAATTGCCTAACAGCCATGCTTTCTCTGTGTGGCCATCAGTGCCTACAAAGCCTCTGTCAATGAGTAGCTCATAACCAATAGTTCTAACAGCTGCACTAAGACAGCACTTAAACCAGGCTGAAGGGCTGGGATCCAAGCAAGCGCCAAATTTGAGACCCTAGGATGCTGTTTCATGTATCCCTGTCTCTCAATGCCAGTTTGATAGCTAAGGTAATGATGCAGCCATTGGGGATAGTTTCACCCCTACCAATGAGTTAAGGGTGGTTAAGAGCAGATGAGGGGAAACTGGGCCAATGTTTATCTAAGCCAAAAACAGATATTCTAGTAACAGACTTGGATGTTCTCCAAAAGGATGTCTCATGATAGCCTGCTGGATGCTGGATAAGGCCTGTCATTATCTGTATGGTCCTCATTACACCCAAAAGTTCTTAGGGCCTTCAGAAAAAATAACCTTTCTCTGTCCTTGGAAGAAATTATGTTTCTGGGTATATTTAAAAATCATAAAACTATTGCAAAAGACCATCTCCTGGGGGTATAGCCAGGTCAGGAAAATAGCAAACCTTTTGATGAAACTAAAGTAGGGGAGAAGAGGGTGATAAACATACAGTGGCCAGAACCAGACTTAGAGGAGAAAGGCCCATGTCCAACTGATGCTAACTGACCTAAGGTATATGGGAAGGTTCTTTAAGAGCAGAGAAACTGATTCTTCTCAAGAGGAGAGGCCCAAGAAGTTGGCAGAGCTAGGGACTTTGGGCATGAAAAGTCAATGGATTATCAGAAATTAGGTCAAAGGTCAAACCTGGAGAAAGGATGCAGTACCTGGTGGGACTGTAGGCCAATAATAGAGGAGTAGGCTTGGATAGTTACGTAGATCTCAGGTTGGAAGTCAATGCAAGATCCAGGCACTCGGAAAGGCCGAAGCAACCCGCCTAGGCAGCGGGAGAGGGCATGGAAAACTTCATCAAACAAGATCTCCCCTGTGGAATCATCCTGAGGGCAATACAAAAAAAGATCTCAAGGGAAATCAACGGCAGCTCTGACAGCGCAAAAACAAGCAGCTTCCATGGGTTGACAGGACTCTGATCTTAAAGTTGGTAGTACCGCCAAACACAGTGCCACGGATGTAATGGGATCTGTCTTCAAACACTGGCCATTCCTTTACAGGTCTATCTACTTTCTACACTGGTAGGTTTGGATTATTTTTTACTTCCTCCAGGCCTCCCCATCTCCTTTTCAACCCCCACACCATCTTTTATTCTTACTATATCCCAACCCCTTACCACAATGCCAGTAGACGGGCTAAGATCCAGCTCAATTACAAATCGATACTGCCAAGCCAGGAAGGTGACTCGGGTGGAAGGTACGAGGAGGAATGGCCTTGGGACCACCGGTTCATCTGGCTGCCACCCGGGAGGTAGGACACTGAGGACTTCCAATTCCTGTTCAGACTGAAGCTGGCAAGGAGGGTAGAGAGAAAAGGAGAGGGTTAGGGAGGATTTACCCTTTCTTTCCAGGACCTGACTTTCATATCCAAAAACCACATACCATTAGCTCTATCTCCTGCAACCCAACCATACATTCTTCCTTCCACTACCTGGAAAAATTATCAAGCAAAATTTCCCCTGTGGAATCATCATGTGAGCATAACTTGGAGAAATAACTTGCCCCTTTTAGAATGAGATTCCTCAAGAGTTGAGTCTCTCATCCTAAGGGTGTTTCAGCACTCTCTTTAAAAAAAAAAAAAATTAAAAAAACAGAGATCCTCTGGACGAGCCCTCATATTCTATTGTGCTTTGGGGGCTCACCAGCATCTCCTGAGGTGTGGCCTGCACAGTTTGATGCAAGTGATTGAGAAACCAAGCCAGGCGGACATTCCGGGAGATACGATAATCCTTTTTCATCAACAGGAACACCTGCCCAGCTTCTTCCACCTGCAGACAAGGAGACATTAGTAAAAGTCTAAAAATTCACTATGCTCCTAGTAAGCAAAGATCACTGTGCAAGTAACTTATCCAAGGGCTCACGATCCAATAGTGAGAAGCAAAGTCACTCCCACCTCTGTGCAAGGTGCCCCCAAGGATTTGGTTCTCAGCTCTGCTCCCAGTCCCCTCTATAGACCACTATAAAGAGGAAGTGACCTTTCCACGTTGTCAAAGCTCTAGTTCCTTCCTTCCATTCACTCATAGGAAGTCAGTTCAATAATATTCCTAATAAGCATCAGTTCCCTTGTTCAAGTTTGTGTCCATCTATCATACAAGTCCTGCCAAATACTGATTTAGGACAGACTAACACTCTCCTTTGGACCTGGCAGCTGCACTTTGACAGAAAGAACTCATCACCTTGCCAATGGGCCAAATCTAGCAGGTCTTTACCAATCCTTTATTTACCCCTGGCCAGCAGCCTCGCCTATTCTACCCAGAACTGCCAGTCTCTCAACCCTCTCAGTCCTAGCAGACAAAAGTGCTAGGACACAACAGAGAAAACAAGGGTCAACTAACCTGAACTCCTCCAATGTTTCTTTCATAGTAAACCTTCTTGCAACACTCCTTTGTTTCCTTGCTATTGCCTTAAAGATTACTCTGTTCCTGTTTTAGATGAATTACAAATAACTTACTAACTAATGTGTTCCTGACTAATGGGGTATGGGGCGATGGCCAGCTGGAGGACTGGAGAGAGTGGTAGAAGGGAAATGAATAGAAGTCAATGCCTGCATGTTGAGAAATGTGGTGCCAAAGGAAAGTGAATTTTTCCCCTCCCCCATGGGGACATATGCATGGACAAGAGATCAAAACAGCCCCGGGGCCTTCCTGGTGGTGCAAAGGGTTAAACACAGCAATGTGAAGCTAACCACAGCCAGCATGAGTGAGATCACTGGCCGGCCAGGGAGCCTCCCGCATGGCGCAGCAGACCTCTCCTGTCTCACCTGCTACAGTCAGTCAGCCTCTTCTGTTCCCCACTCTGTCTCTGGTAAATCCTCTCACCCCCTGCACCTCTGGCCTGTACCCCAGTTCTTGCATGCACAAATAAATCTATCTTAAAAAAAAAAAAAAAAAAAAAAAAGGGCCTCCCCGGTGGCGCAGCGGTTGAGCGCTGGGTTGCGAAGCTGCCCGCAGCCTCTGCAGCGCCGGTTCGATTCCCAGCTGCTCCCCGGCCACCAGAGGAGGGTCCCACATGGCGCGCAGACCTCTCCTGCCGCCCGCTGCTCCCCTCAGCAGTGTACTTCGGTCCTTCTGCCTGCTCTGCTCCCCGCTCTGGCTCTGGTGAATTCTCTCACCCTCCCGTGCTTCTGTCTGTACCCAATGCTTGTATAAATAAATAAATAAATCTTTAAAAAAAAAAAAAAAAAATTAAAAAAAAAAAAAAAAAACCAGCCCCGGAATAGCAATAAAGAAGGGGGCCTGATGTTAGAAGAGTATGGAGAGATGTAATGACTAAAGATGAATAAAGTCTGCTCCAAGACAGAAAGCAAGGATAAAAGACATACAGACATAGATATTGGGAAATGGCAGAGATGAAAGTAGAAGGCAAGAAGAGGGAAGGGACTCATATTTATTGAGCGCAGAAAATATATTTAGAGGCACACTGCAGAGGCTAAGTGCAAGAGTATCAGAATCAGACAGCATGGATCTGAACCCCAATTTGGCCACTTAGCAGCCTGTGATCTGTAAGATCCTTAACCTTAACCTTACTTAACCTCTTCAAGCCTCATTGTCCTCATTTGTAAAATGAGATTATCTTATGTAAAGCAACATAAAATAATTCGAATACCAATCTAACAGTGCTGTTATGTGGAGTAAGAGAATATGTGCACATGAAGTATTCAGCACAGTGCCTGGCACTCAGCAAAAATATATAAGAAAAGTTAACTATTACAGGTTATTACCAGGCACAATAGTAGGCTCCTTATATAAGTGAACTCATTCAATCTTCACACAAAGTATTTGATAAAAGAAAACTGGGGTCCAAAAAAGTTAAGTGACTTAACATAACTAGTAGGTGTAAGGTCATAAGTTAAACGCAGGCCCCTCTAATGAGAGTGACAAATGGATAAAACTGGGGACTTGAGAGCAGAGAAGATTTAAAGTAGGAACAAGAAGGAACAGGATGGGCTTTACAAGCAGAAAGGATACCTTGACCTAATGGGAAAAATAAAGACAAAGTAACCAGAAGTTGTGGTTCAATATCATTTGATGTTATGTCTCCATACTACCTGAAATTATACTTTGGGGGAATTACCATTCCTTATTACACTGCTTTCTTACACTGTGCTGAGGTCAGCACTGGCTAGGATTTTGGCTTTTATCCCAAGAATTAGGTCAAGACGTGAGAATCTTTTTTTTCGGCAGGGCAATATTATATCTGCATTTAAAAAATTCCTCTGGTTACTGTGTGATTTAGAAAGTTCCTTAGTGACCAGAAAGCTCCTTAGCGACCAGAGAACAGTGGCCTAGACCAGAGTTACTCAAAGCAGCCATTGTGTGAACAGTTTTTGTTTTTTTTTTTCTTTTCTTTTCTTAAGATTTATTATTTATTTATACAAGCACTGGGTACAGTCAAAAGCGCGGGAGGGTGAGAGAATTCACCAGAGCCAGAGTGGGCAACAGAATAGGCAGAGTGAGGAAGAACACTGCTGAGAGGAGCAGCGGGTGCAGCAGGAGAGGTCTGTCGTGCCATGTGGGACCCTTGCTGGTGGCTGGGGATCGAACTGGCGCTGCAGAGGCTGCGGGCAGCTTCGCAGCCCAGCGCTCAACCGCTGCGCCACCAGGGGAGGCCCAGTTTGCGACGGGTCCCTGATGCCAAGGAGTTGAGTTAGAATGCAAAACTACAACTGCTTTCATGGATAAAGCCATGTTATAAGCAGCAAATAAATAAATAAATAAATAAATAAATAAATAAATGTCAGCTGAACTAACTTTTGAGCAAGTGAGCTTAGTTGCATTTTAAGGAATCTTTAGAATAAGACAGACAAGAACTGGTGATTAATTGTAAGTAGGGAGGAAAGTAACAAAAAGAAAGGTGTCAAAGATGACTACTAACGTAGCTTCAGAAAACAGTAAGTTGCAGAAAAATCTCCAAGCCAGTTAGGCAAAGTAGATAAAGTTATCTACCATCACTTCTAACTACCAGCCCTCTCAAAAGAGCCCATCAAATTGTACTGGCAAGTTCCTGAAAACAGAAAAGGGGTCTAGTGGCAAAGAAGGAAACTGTAGCAATGATTTCTCTGACCACTGGTCCCAGGGAGGAATACTCTCAGAAACTGAGCAAGCTCTCCCTCAGGACCGGCTAAGCTGGTGCTGGCAGTTAGTAACTGCTTTTATCTATGAGCTAACTATGCTGGATGCTGGTTAAGATTATCTAAAAAAGGATGGGTTGGGGCTCAGGATTATCAGAATGGAAAGGATATCTCAAATCAGCAGTCCTTTCTGTTTATCACTCTGGCCCCAGGGCCCACTGCGGTACCTGGCATGTCAGATACTCAATGAAACTTGGTGGATTAAGTGAATTCATTAGTATGTTTTAAGCAAAGCAAATATAACATTTAAAACTAATCACAATCAACACATTATTCTCCTCACTACACTAGTCTCAACCACACTAGTTCCATTTGTTTTAGAACAGTGTTACAGAAAGAAAATACGATTTAATAGGGGAGACTCAGGGCTTGAAGGTTAATGGCCTTCTCTATAAAATACCACCACCTATCCCAATGATGGATGAAAGTACTTTATAAGCTCAAAGTGCTTGTATAAACACACATACGAATAATAGCAAGGTATTACTTGTTATTAGGAACTCCTAACTCTACTAGTCTCTAATCACACTAGTCTGGAAACTGTTCCTTTAGTTCCTCTTTGGTAGTCAGTAAAAACTTTTCCCCCAAATGCCAGCTATGCAAGTAAACACCAAGAAAAGTTCTGGCCCATACTGAGCCCAGGTTAAAGTGGGGAGAGCCTATATCCAAGAATCCTGATCACCATAAGAACAGTTGGAGAAATTTGGTCACTCCCTCCTTGAGATTGAAATCTTGGCAACTCTGGGTTTAATAAAAGATTTTTCCATGACCCCTGGCACTAACCTCTGTCAGGCATATACAAAGCAGGCTATACTTCCTCACAGAACCCAGCAGTTTAGAATGAAGTATTTGTCTACTTCTTAATGTTTGTTTCTCCCAGTCTAAAAGCTCTAGGGAGGTAGGTGCTGCGTCTATATAATTTCTTTGCTGGATTCCTAGCAATTAGCCAAGACACACTAAGTGTTCAAATACTATTTGGTGAATGAATGTATGGATAAAGGAAATTGCACTCACAAGCTATATTTATTCTCTTCCGTTTCAAGCTATGTTCATTTTACCCATGATTCCTAATTTTTCACTTTGGTCAACATCTGCTTTTTTGGTGTTAACGAGTTCCTATCCTGTCTCATCCATTTTACAGAAAACTAGGAGCCTCCCTTGTGATGCAAGGGGTTAAGCATCAGCACTATGAAGCTATCTGAGTTTGATCCCGGCCAACGAGGTGACCCACATGGCGCAGCAGACCTCTCCTGACTCGCCCACTGCTCCCCCTGGCAGTGTATTTCAGCCAACCTGCCTGTTCTGCTCCCATTCTGTCTCTGGTGAATCCTCTCACTCCCCACACCTCTGGCCTGTACCCCAGTTCTTGTATGTATAAACAAATAAATTATAAAAACAACTAGGTGGTTCTATTATCCCTTTGCTTCCATGAAAATTATTTCCCTCTCATGTTCTTTTCTGGTACTATCTTCTTTCTACTGTTTCTGGAATCTGGGGAGACGGGTTCTGGTGTGAATTCTAATAGATTTGTTTTAAAAGGAAGAACAGTGTTATGAAAAGAAATTTGATTTGATAGAGGAAGACTCTGGGCTTGAAGATTAATTTCCTCCTCTATTTAAAATACTACCACATATCCCAATGATGTCTGAAAGCACTTTATATGCTAAAAGTGTTTGTATAAACACACATATGAATAATATGTGTGTTTTGGAGACTGGGAGAAGTCCTGCAGGGTCATTCACTTCAATTTTTTTTTGTGTTCCTCCCCATTTAATGACATACTTGGAAGTTTCTTCACATTGAGCCAGAATCTGTCTACTGGATATTCTCTTGGCCCATTATTAAAATACTTTTCTGGGAAATATTTAATCCACTATTGGTTTTACCTCCTAAGTTTACACAAGGAAAGTATGACCCTTTGGTAAAGAAGATCTAGCAGACATTTATTAACAGTCCTGAGTCTTTGCTTCTCCCTAATAAATATCTCCTAGCTCTTTAAGTATGTTTCAAATGGCATGGTTTCATTTCCTAAATATTTTCTATCTTAGATCACATGCCTTTTCAACATTACTGGTCTGCTTTTCAACATTACTCGTGGAGGCCAGAATGAAGCACAATACCTGGGTGAGGTCACAGATTCAGTCTCCTACTTTCTATTTACTTTTTGAAAAGCTTTATCATACTGTGGACTCAGGAAACTTCCATGACTTTCTCACTTGTGCTGCTACTAAGACACATCCCCCATTCTGTCCTCATGCAGCTGGCTTTTATAGATACATACAATTATTCAATTAATACTATTACTTGGTTAAATTCAGCCTGCTATTCTGTTGTGAGGCTTAAAGTGCTGTTCTGTCTTGTAGTAAATCCCTTTCCAGCTTAATTTCCCTGCTAATTTGATCAGAATGCCATCAAGTCCAAAGAGAACAAAAGAAAGTGGGACATGCATTCATTCATCAGCCTAATACATGCTGGGCACTCTGCTAGGCTCAAAGGATATGAATGGTAAGCAAAAATTGGCATTCTTTGCTGTCACAAAATTTACCCTGTCGTGGAGGAAAAAAACCCATGAATCAATCACTCTGATTATTTTATTATTATAAACTGAGTAAAGATAAGAATGTGGTCCTGCCAAAAGATAAGAATGTGGTTCTGTGACAGAATATAATAATCTGACCCAAGCGAGGGTTTTAGGAGAAAATGACAGTGAAGGCTGCGTAGGATATGCTAAGTAAGGAGGGAAAGTGGGATAAACTAGATGGAGGGTACAGCTGAGCACTGTACTATTAGGAAAGTCTCTTCAGATCCCTAGTAGGTTGCTTAATTCTACTACTGCTCAGCTTCATTGGCTCAAAGGATTAATCTGAATGATAAACTCACGGTCAGTTCAAACTGACACCTGGAACATATGCCTCAACTCAGGACATACCTCCTTATACACGAGCCTTCAAAGTCAACTATTATGTTTCAAAACATTGTCTCTAATTTCTCTTCACATTCAAGATGGAATTTATCAGAACCAGAAGACTTAAGAATTAATGTAAGCAGCTAAAACAGTATTTTTCAAAGTGTGAGCCAAGGACCAGCTGCATCAGAATCATCTGAGGTGCTTATTATAATGCAGGTTCCTGGGCACCTCCTCAGACCAACTGAATTGGAATGGGGCTCAGGAATCTACCTCTAAATAGTTCCAAGGGATTTTTCCATGTTAATGTTTAAGACCCCTTGAATTAGTTATGTTCTCACAGGATTCATACTTGTAAGTTGCTCAAGTTCCCAGTGTTTAGGCCCCAAACCTGAAGTGCACTACCCTTGGAGTAGCCTGGCCGAGACAAAGCAAAGCTATGGAGTCAGAGACTTGAAGTCAAATCTGGTTCTACTACATGCTATCTGGGTGAGCTTGGGCAAGTTTTTCATGCTTCAAATTTCATTGATAATGTATGGATAAGAAAATCTGCTTCATAAGGATGTTACTGCAACTAATAAGGAGTCAGCATAATGATAAAAGTAGCTTATCATTCTTTGGAACATTTATTGAGGCCTACAGATCATTTACAACCAGATGAATAAAACATTATAGGCATTCTGTTACATACTGTGTATACCAGATGAAAGAAACATGGCCCAGATATTTTTTTTGGCACCTGTCTCTTTGTGGTTAAGGTACAAATTATTCTTTTAGTTTTTTCAAACTCTTGTGCTGTTTCCTATTAACAGACTCCTATGAAATAATGTATTTGCCCCCCCGGACTGTCTGAAGCCTCCTTACCACTGCACTTAGGCCAAAATCTTGTCTCCAGGATGGCCTCAACCTGAATCTTCTTTCCCGGCCTCATTGCTCACCTATCCCTCCCATCAAGAGCAAGCACTCTATTGTTATAGCACCTAGGGTCAAATGCTGGTTCTGCTGATTGTTGGTTCCAAGCCCGCAGTCAGTGAAGTCACATAAACTCTGTGCCTCAGTTTCCTCATTTGTGAAATAGGGTTAATATTAGTGTCTGTTTCATGGAGACTTTTAATTAAAAGTCTCAAGCACCCCATTGAGCTATTAGCTATTCTCAAGCACCACATTAGCTATTCCTCATCCACACCAGCAGCTGCTTCCTGTCAGCTCCCTGATGGCTCTGAGTTCCTTCTCACCTCAGGATTTTCACTATTCCCTTGGCCTGGAATTAGCTCTAATGGCCAGCTTCTCACTCTTCAGGCTTAAATGTCATTCCTCTAACAAACTGCCAGATTCATAAGCCACCCAACCCCACTTCCTTAACAAAGTAGGTTAAAAACCTCTGTTAGACACTCATTCACTCCATATTTTTCCTTTGCAGCACTTATCATAATTCAACGCTCGTTGATGCCACAAAAAAACAGGGTACAATGTCTTACAGTGCTCATATCCACCCTGATACTTAGCAGAAGTCTGAGTCCTTAGCAGCACTCAGAAAATATTTTAAGTATTTGATGAATGAATGATTTCTTAAATCTGACCGCACCCAATCTTTCTCTCTGGATTATATCAATAACAACCGCACTTTCTTATGCTTAGGGGCAGAACTCTTCTGAGATAAAGTTTCCAGAAATGCAAAACAAGAACATAAGGAATCCTTAATTTTGGGCTAAATGAGACTCCCAGGAGGTATGTCTCAACTACAAGTTACTTTAGATCTGTACTGTTCCATGTGGTAACCACCACGATATGAGGCTACTGGGCACTTGAAATGTTGCTAGTCCAAATGAGATGTACTGTAAGTGGAAAATACAGACTGGATTTTAAAGACTTGATACAAAAACAAGTTGAATAGCTCTTAATTTTTATTACACGTTGAAACAACATTTTGGAAATATGGGGTTAACTACATTATTAAAGTTGATTTCACCTGTTTCCTTTTACCTTCTCAAATGTGACTACTAGAAGATTTACTGTGTACCTTGTATTAGATTTTTACTGGACTGTGTGCTGTTTTCAACATCTGCTTAAAATGTATGCTGTATTTCCCCTCCATTTCTCTCATTTTAATCCATAATGAAACATATTTCACTTTCATGTTTGTCCTCAGTATTGCTATTTCTGAGACAAGTGCTATTCTAGCTACCCCTGTCATCATGTCTGCTTCTTTTAAATAGGGCATAGTTTCCCACAACCATATTCAATCTTCATCACACCAAATTCCAATGAGCTGGAGATTTACCATCCTGAGGTTACTTTATTATTTATACTATAAATATATGGTTCAGAATAGACCTGAACAGACCTGAAGCCAGACCACCTACTTAACAGCTGTATAACTCTGTTATTCTTTTTTCAGTTTCTTCAACTTAAAAATGGGGCTAAGAGAGTCTAATTCACAGGGTTGAGAGCATTAATTAAAGGTGCTGAGAATGGCGCCTGGCATGCAGTAAGCACTGAGTAATGACTACTACTTGTGTGACATACAATTCAAATATCTTTTTATAATAAATCCTCTTTTATCACTTGCCACCTACTCATATGTCCTCTTATGATACTGGACACCTCTCCTAGTGATAGTCTTCTAAATCTGAGATTGTATACTCACTTCTAACTCCAAAATTCTGCTATACCTCAGTCCAGTAGCACTTGAGTTAAGATAGTTAACCTCTCACCTTTTAGTTCCTTTCTAGGTACATCAGAATAGATAGTGTTAACATCCTTGCAAGTGTAACAAAACGCAAAGTTTGCACAGCCCTTAGCACCTAATGGACGCCGAACATGCACTTTCTGATTTAACATATGCGATGCTCAAACCATCCTATGAAATAGCTATTTTATAAAGGAGACAGGATCTGGGGAAGTCTGGACTTGCCTGAAGTTTCGGATAGCTAAATTACAGCGCCAGTAGTGGAACGAGGTTTCACTCTGAATCAAATGTTTTGACTTGTTTCAAGAAACCAAAGCTACTCTCCAAATGCATGAGCACTAATACTAAACTAATCTATGCTGTCTATGGCATTCCAAATGTTTGAGAAAAGCAGAAACCGGCAAAGTCAGTCTACTGCCGGGTGGCCCAGTGAAACTGCAACAGAAAAGCAATACAGATTTTGTTAATACCATTGTTTGGTCAAAGAGCCCGAGAAAACGGGAGCCTGTCGAGCGGATGAAATTTCAGTAAACAAAACGAGTTTCTCTTTTTGCTCACCCCTCCCAATCCCGAGGAATCAGCGGACGGCGGTCCGGCAGCCCCCAGACCCGGGGAAGGCCACAGCCGCCCCTGGACGCCGGGGCCTCTCCCTCAGATGCCGGGGCCCAGCAGCGCGCCCGCCCGCCCCTCACCTCCGGCTCCGGGCGCTCCGAGGCCATCACACAGCCCTCCCGCGCCGGCCCGGGCCAGGGGAGATGCTCCACTCGTGACCCCTGACCCGGCTACCGCGCACCCGGCAGGAACCGGAAGTGTGTGGGAGGGCCAAGTTCTGAGTCTCTGATTGGCGGACGAGGTCCTTTCCCTGTGACTCGCTGACTTGGAAACCGGAAGAGGAAGTCGCTGCCGCAGCAATGCAGGTGAGAACTGGCTCAGGGCTGCTGGCCGCTAGCTATCTTCGGGTAGCGGGACTAAGTGTGGCTGGCCCAGGAATGAGTGAGGAGTTGGGGTTTGGGGGAAGCCGCAGAGTCCGAGGCTGACGGTTTAGGGAACGCGGGATGCGGGATGAGGCCAACTGGAGAGGGATCGAGGCCAACTGGAGAGATGGGGCGGAGCCTGGCTGACAGGAGACAGAAGCTAAGGCTACGTCTGGAGGAAGGAGGCAGCACAGATTTTCTGGGGTTTGGGAAAGGATCTGGTTGTAATGTGAGAAGGATAAGATGCAGCCCAAGGAAGATGACTCAAGAAAGTGGTGGATTGGCCGGTGCATCGGCCAAGGCTGTTGGGTAGAGGCCATCGGATACAGTCCAAGCGGGTCTATAATTGGAGAGACATCAGAGGGTTGAAGGAATTCCCGGACGCGGTGAAGAAAATCTTAGCTAATTATAATCTGAGGCCAATAGTGGATCAAGGCTTCTCTCATGCACATTGGAGACTCTGCGAGACGGTTTTGCATCATTTTTATGAGCCTGTGCTTGAAAGTTGTTAAAAACGACATGAAGTAAAACGGGAGACCGTATATGGTCTCCCTGTATATGGCCCCCCAAGCATAAGACAAATTCTAGGACAAAGAAAGCTGGAGCAGGCTGCAACAGTGCACCAAAGATAATTAACCCTCAGATATTATGTCTGGTCACATTCTCAATGAGAGGATGTGCCAGGCATGGATTAGAAGGTGAGGAGAGAAAGGAAGCAGTAGGTAGGGAGAATTGAGGTCGGGTGAATGGGTTGAAAGGTCTAAGGGTTGATGCTGTGTATAATTCAGATACCAAAGGTAGTTAACCATCTGCCTGTCCTGTGCCAGTGAGCACCTGTGTCCCTTGACTAGTGTTGTGCACTGTCTCCCTGACTTTTCAGCCTTCTCTGTATGTGTCATATTCACACCCATTTGAGTAATCAACCTGTTACTATTGGTGCAGAGGGAGGAGAAACAGCTTGAGGCGTCATTAGATGCACTGCTGAATCAAGTGGGTGATCTGAAGAACTCATTGGGGAGTTTCATTTACAAGTTGGAAAACGAGTATGACCGGCTGACCTGGTAAGGATTGCCAGGGCAATCTGGGGAGGGCACCAAGGGTGGGGGGGATGCACCTCAGGTGGCTAGGGCAACTCCAGTGATGTAACTATTTATCACTTTGGCATTATCTTTTGATTTGGAAAGAACTGGGTTTCCTAACAGGTGAAGTTTGGCTTAGGGCCTCTATGGCAAAGATGTGGGGAAATGCCTACTTTCCCAACTCAGATTGCTTTTAGCTTTTGGTTCTCACTCTTTGACTTCTCTGGGATGAGGTCCTTCACTTCAGTAGGAATGTGGTGTTCATACTGGGTCTCGTCACAGATGTTGCAGATCAAACCTACTCTGGAAGTGTGACTTCTATTTCCAGAGTGGAAAGGAGGCTTTTACCTAGTTTCTGAATTTTTAGTGATACCAGGGTCGCTATGGTTCCTATTTTGCCACTGTTCTCATCCCCATCCACCTCCCCCTTTTTTCTACATCTACATCCGTGACGAAACTGAGCATGTGTCCCCTCTTTACTAACTCCACAATCCTCATGAACTAGCCCGTTTCCCATCTAGTCCAGCCATAGAGTTGTGGTTCTGGGAGGGGGTGGGGGAAGTGAGGGGTGGGGTGGGTGTCTGGATGGTCCTAGTCTGAAGAACCCCTTAGTAACTACTTTACCAGGAACATTCTGACACTTTCTTGCTACCACCAGGCCCTCTGTCCTGGACAGCTTTGCCTTGCTCTCTGGACAGTTGAACACACTGAACAAGGTCTTGAAGCATGAAAAGACACCACTGTTCCGTAATCAGGTCATAATCCCTCTGGTGTTATCTCCAGACCGAGATGAAGATCTCATGGTAAGAGAAGGGTACAACTTGGAGAATTAAGTTTTTAGATGAGGACCTAGAGCACAGTTGTTGGTTGGTTATTCCAGACATTCTGAATGTGGAGTGGTGTATGGCAGTAAGAAGTGAGGACTGCATTTTAGAGACCTAGATTTGTGTCCTGGAATTGAGGAACCACTCACAAAGAGTACTGAATTAACCTGAGGCCTATCCCAAGACCTCCTCCAATTATCTCTCTCAAACAGGAAGTATGTTCTTTTATGACTTTGTCTATCCCAGCCTTTGATTAAAATATGACAGAGAGTTGTCCCTGGGTCTCACAGAGATAGGATTGTGAGGAGAGAGAAAGGAAGGCTAGAGTGTGGGAAATAGTGGTGCTAGATAGTCTAAATCTCAGGTTGTGTTTTCCCTGAAAAATGTACTGTTTGCCTGTGGAAGGAACTATGCATCAGGCCAGATTGAATTTTCTTGGAGTACATAGTAAGATCTATAAAATCTATGTTACAGAGGCAGACGGAAGGACGAGTCCCTGTTTTCAGCCATGAAGTGGTCCCTGACCATCTGAGGACCAAGCCTGACCCTGAGGTGGAAGAGCAAGAGAAGCAACTGACAACGGATGCCGCCCGCATTGGCACTGATGTAGCTCAGGTTGGACTGTCACTGTCCTGCTGCCCCTCCATCTTCCAAGTCCCATCATGAGAAGCTAGGCATTACCATTCCTATGTGGTAGGGATGGGCAGCTGATTAGACCTAAGTTTTCCCTGGAAAAGCACAGTCTTCCCCATAATCATTTCTTGCTTGCTCTAATCACTACACAAATTTATGTGTTACAGAAGCAGATTCAGAGCTTGAATAAGATGTGCTCAAATCTCCTGGAGAAAATCAGCAAAGAGGAACGAGAATCAGAGAGTGGAGGTATGAAGGATGGGTGGCAAAATAGAGCAGGAAAGAGGGATATGATTGTGGGAACAGGAATGGTAGTTTTGGTAGTGGTGAAATGAGGATGTAGCATGAGTTGCTTTAGGAAAGAGTGTGCATCCACTTGTTAGCCTTTTGTAGTAAAGGTTGGGCCTGGCATAGGTGGAAGAAATGGCGAGATGAGAAGGATGAATTCTGAGATAGTCATGGGGATCCTTTGGCTTTCCTTCTGGGCCACCAGGGGCTCTAGATGCTGCTGAAGTCATAATTCCAAACCCTGGAACTCATACCTATCTTCCTGCTGCTGGGACTAGTGTATACTTAAAGGTCCTCTCTTACTTTTTCTTCAGGTCTCCGGCCAAACAAGCAGACCTTTAACCCTGCAGATACCAATGCCTTGGTGGCAGCTGTTGCCTTTGGGAAGGGGCTCTCTAACTGGAGACCCTCGGGCACCAGTGGTCCTGGCCAGCCAGGTCAACCAGGAGCTGGGACCATCCTTGGGGGAGCCTCAGGATTACAGCAGGTACAGATGGCAGGAACTCCAAGCCAGCAGCAGCCGATGCTCAGTGGAGTGCAAATGGCCCAAGCAGGTCAACCAGGTAACGTGTCACACCATGAGCAGGGAGGGGAAATAAGCTGGATTCTCTGGGTCCCCAGCATCCCAAGAACTGGACCTTTTTCCTTTTCTTCCCTGGATTGGGGCCTAGAAAATTTTTAGGAAAAAATATTTCACTTTGGAATTCTATAACAAGCCCCAGAGAATGAAGAACTTTGATTAACAGAAACTTCTCTCGTTTCCCAATCTCATTTCAGACCTCTCTCTCAGCTACCCTTCTCTCCCATTTACTCTGGGTACTAGGTGTGTTATCACTGTCTTTTCTTATGTAAAGAAACAGTTCTAAGACCTTAATTAAGATCATTTGGTAATGCATTGGGAATTGACAAAGAGGCAAGTTTCCCAGTGCTACCTGTATTCTTTTCTCTCTGTTCTCTCTCACCTGCTCACATCCGTAAGTATGAGCATAGTCAGGAGGAGTTCAGGTATAAGTCACTAGAAGAGGTGTTTTCTTCCAAGCTACCTAGGAAAAGGGACAATTAAAGTAAGGGAACTTATTGCTTCTTTTGTCTGTGGCAGGAAATGGCAGTCACACTGATTTAGCTATCTTTTTCAAGAGCAGATGAGCAGGACCCTGCTGGGGTGTGTTCTTCTCTCCACCCCCCCACCCCCCACTCTCCCCCTCTCTCAGGGAGAGAGCTAGGTGAGGAACCACACCTCTGATCTGTGCCACCCAGGGGCAGATGCCAAAGACGTTCTGTGATGATAAAGAAGGCAGAAGGGAATCTGAGAAACCACATTTATGATTTATCATGACAGTTACTGTGCTTCAGGTGTCTTTCTTTATGTTCCTTTTAGGGAAAATGCCAAGTGGGATAAAAACCAACATCAAGTCGGCTTCAATGCACCCCTACCAGCGGTGAGTGTGGCCAGCTACTTCCACTCCCATGTGTTCTTTGCAGAGTTGGGGAGTGAAATTGCCTATGCCCAAGCCAACCTAGATGGGTACTACAAAAAATAAAACCCTGGCCTCTTAGTGTCAGACAAATTACAGCCTCATTGCTGACTAGCTCTGTGATCTTGAGCAAGTGACCTAATTTTTCTGAACCTGTTTTCTCATTTGTAAGTGGTGATAGTAATACCTACCTCATAGGGTTGTTGTGAAGATGAAAATGAGCAAATGAATGTGAAACATTTAGCACAGTTATATGAAATAATGGGTATTCGATAAAGGATAGTTTCTATAGCCACATCTCCCCCGCTGACCTCCTTAACCCTCAGTCCAGAACTTACCGTGATGTAATAGTGCTTTGTGTCAGTCATGTGCTGATGGGCACACGATTATGGAGAACTCAGCACTGTTTGAAAACCAGTGTTACCTTGAGCTGCTAGAAACAGCAGCCTCTATGGCCATTGAGCATACTGGTGTGTGCCCTCCCGTCCAGGTGCCATCCTGGCTGTCTCTCTAATCTGCAGGTGACAAGGCTTCTGGACCAGGACAAACTGTCCACCTGCAGCTCTGGTGAAGCTCGGGCCTGCTGTACTCTCCATCCTCTGAGAAGCTCTTACCCAGGAAATAGCCACAAAGTCCTCTGTCCTTTACCCCACCCTGTACACATGCAGGAAGATGTCGAGGGGCCGGAGATGAGGGCTTCCTAGGAAGTGACACTACTGGGCAGGACTGTGTGAGAAAGGGTTTTGCTTTGCACATGCAAAAGCTCCTTCTTCTCTGGACTTAGTTTTCTTATTTTGGAGGGAAGAGGGACTTGCATGTCACACCATCTTTCATCAGGGTTTCGTTGTCCTCATACGAGGGCCTCATTCCTGCCCTTAGCCAGATTTTCACAGTCCACTGAGTGGTCACAGTCCACTGAGTCTGTGACCCAAATAAGAGCCAGATGGATGGAGCTGCCCACATGGCCTTTGTCTGCTTTAATAAAGCTGAAGAGCTGAGTGAGTTTGGGTCTCCAACCTAAGTTGCCTTTCTTAGTACTCCTTTGTGGGTTAGGGCTGATGTGAGTCAGGAGAAGTGGACCAAAGGGTTACTCTGAGTATAAAGATTTTTAAGTTGATGGCCACTGTGTCTGCTGACACAGGCTTATCTGCTGACAATCTACGAGAGCTACGTGGGGATCAGAGACTGTAATGTCAGAGGCTTTCAAGGGTGCTGCGAAATAATTCTAATTTGTGCTCCATGAAAAGTTTTCTTATCTTTGATTACTTTGATCTAAAAGCCCTAAGAGAAGAACCTGCTCATATCTTCCAGCTGCCTTTTTCTGTTTTCTTCTGTCACACATCAGTACTTGGGCATTTGTTCATTGCCAGGCAGAATTCTGCCAGGCTGTGGCAGCAGAGGACTGGAAAAGTGGTCTCAGATCTCACATGCATTCATGTTCCATCAAGATGGTGTCCATAAAGTTCACTGACCATGGCACACAGCAACGTGGGGAGACATTTCCTTGGCTCTGAGGTAATGCCTCACCTTTCCCTCCTCACATCAGCAGTACCGCCTTCATCTGCCAGCCCACTCAGTTGTTCATTGTCTTTACCTTTTCCCACTGAATGGCAAAGCTAACTGTCATATTGAACAGAATTGAAGCTGTGGTTCCCTAACTTCCCTGGGGCAAATTTTGGTGCCTGCCGACCTTTACTCCACCAAAAGGTTGCCTCCTGTTGAAAGGTGCCAACCCAACCTCCTTTTTATTCCAGGCTGATACTGATTTCATTCCCACCATATTATTTGAAAGGTCTTCTTGCCCCACCAAGAATATACACTGGACCTTATCTACATCTGTGCCCTTGAATAAAAAAGTTCCTTGTGCTGGAGACACACACATCTCCATATTTTTCGTTCTGGGAACATGTGTTATCACTGCCCACACTCCATCGCCCACAGCTGTGGAGTACAAAAACCTATGAAGCATCACTAACATTGGGGCCCATCCAACCTGGTAAAGGTGTCAGTGGAGAGCCTCTCCCACCCCTAACATGGGTATTCCTTCAGGAGGGGAAACTATGGTGTGTTCTTCAAAGAAGAGGGCATGACCTCTTTGCTCAGAGAGGACTTGCAAAAGATGGCTTTCTTGTTGCGCTCTGGTAGTATTCCTCGATTTCTCACTGCTCTGTTTTACCTGAGCACTGTGCTATCCCCTACTTTGGAGGCTTCCAGAGAATGAAATTAGATCCTTGCCTGTCAGGTTTATGTCTAGGTTGGAGAAAAAAGCAGCTGCTGTCAACCTTGAGATGTTACCACAGCACAGAGTTCATGCTGCAGATGGAAGCTTCATGAATCAATGTCAGCTTTACACCGTTGCCTAAGACCACTCCTTCTCCAACTCTGCCCTGGTGCTGGGATTCAGTGACTGTTGAACTTCCCTTTTACTCACTGCCCTGGTCACCCTATTCTCTTCTTCCTCTGATGTCTTTTGCCACCCTACCTATTTGGCTCACTGAACCTTATACTTCCTTGAGAAACAACCAAGATAAAAAGATGTAACTGAGTGTTCCTTCTAACTCCATACTGGGTCCTGGCATTAGAACTGAACTGGAGCGGGTGTATTCCACCCCTGTCCTACTGCTGAAGGAAAGAAACAGCTCTACAGGAATGCCCTAGTGCAAGGCTGGTTCCTTTTCACACCCCCTCCTCACCTCCCCCAGGCAGCTGGAAACAACCTCTCCCTTTGTGTGAGCTTCTTGTACAGAATAATCCTCCTTATGGACAATGTATTCTCTGTACCCCGTGGACACAGGAGCCGTGTGAGCTGATCCCAGCACCAGGCAGGACGGAGGCTGAATCCTTCCAAACGCCCACCCTGGGTCAACTCCTGATTTCTGTCCAGAGAAACTACTAGGGGTTGTGCATTTTCTTCCATCTGCTCCAGATTTGGGGGCATGGCCTATTGAAGTTTAGCAGTGGGCCAGGAATAGTGCCACGGCCTGTGGTCCCTTTTCGGTTCAGTCCTGAGAGTTTACCATGTCAAATTATAGAAGTTCAATATGACTCTGGCCTGACAGCCTTGAAGGCACAGGGGCTTAACACTTGGAAAAGATCTGCCATCCTGCAGATTGGGCTTCCTAATTGGAACAGAAGACAGATTTTCCAGCCATCCTACAGCAACATAGCACCCTCAACAGATGTTATCCCACAGGACAACAGTTCTTTTTCCCTTTTCCCTTTCTTTTTTGTTCTTGAGCTCTGTGTCACTGAGGCAGAACCTGGATCTCATGTGGTCCCAGGATGTCACCTACTATTTGGCATCTTCTCCAGGTGCAGCCTGGATAAGGCACCTGAGCCTTAAGTTTTCTCACCTGAGTGATCTTCCTAGTTCTATAATCTCTGGCAGTGATTCTCAAGCACATTTGTTCCAGTTATTTTTTTCATTATATAGCTGTGTTATATAAAATAACCCTAAATTTTCCTAAGTGAGCCTCCAAAGCCCTCCAAAGCCCTCAACCCCCCATAGAGGGCTCCTAAAGTTCCCTCTTGGTCACATGCAATTTAACATTTCCTCTAGACTACTTCCCTCTAATTAATTTCTGGCTTTATTCTCTAATGAAAACTTGCCAAAGAGATGGTGAATTACCACAGAGATTCATGTATTCAGAGAAATCATCTTCCCACTTTCTCCTCTGGGCAAGATATATGTATTAGTGCTTCCTCGATGCCAGGTATTTCTAAGTTTTACCTCTCATCACTTTAATCCCCCAAATAAAATCCTTTTGCTAGTTTTCTGGGGCCCACATACCTGGCAGATTGGTGGATGCAGTATCCTATGCAGACTGAAGCCATAGATAAAATCAAAAATTAGAATGCCCATTTTACTCGAGGGTAAGTAATTTTAATTGGAGAATGCCAAATCATCTCATATGCATTATTAGAGAAAATAAACTAGAGAATTCCTACTAGTCTGAAGGGCTGCAGACTTAGCCGCTAGATTCCTCGATGATATTTAGTTTTTTTACTTTTTCATTACTTTTACTACATTGGAAAAATTTGAAAAATTTCAGATTTCCTGGAAGACAAGTAAGATTCTGTGTGATCTAGCCCTGCGACTTATGACAAATTTTCAATATTATCCTGCCACCCACTCTCTTCCCAGGCCTTAGAAATTGCTTGACACTCCTGAGCGTAACAGACTCCAGCCTTTATTTCCACTGTTCCCTTTGTATTGAATTCTCTGATGAATATGCGATATTTCAAGATTTAGTTCACAAGTCACTCTGTGAAGTTTTCCAACAATTCAGTCTACCTAAAACCCCATGCCACTAGGTAAAGCCAGTTACCTTCTCTTTGATGTCACACACTTAAACTTTATTCTAGCTCCTGCTGCCCTGTATTGTCCCCCAAATACAAGCACCCTGAACTGTCAGCATTTGAATTCTAGTTCACCCACTTGAGAACTTTGTGGTCTTTGGCAAGAAAAGTGTATGTCTTACATACTATAGCGTCAGGCCCAACATAAACACTGCGGGTGGCAGCCGCTGCTGTTACTATCGCTGATGTTATCTCATTAACTTTGGATATAGTCTGATATAGTATTATTGGTTACAAAAGCAGTTTCTAGTGCCAGAATGCCTGTGTTCAAATCCTAGCTTTGCTACTTACTGGCTGTGTGACCTTGAGCAAATTTACCTCTGTGCTTCTGTGTCTATCCTTAGAAAGGATAATAATAGTCGCTATGTCATAGGGTTGCTCGAGGTTTGAGTTAATAGATACAGCGCTTAGAATAATGACTGACAATAGCAGCCCAATAAATATTAGCCATCCTCAGGGTGTCTAGAAATATGCTCTCAGTAACTACTGCTTAAATCAATGATTGACCAGTCTTTCCATGAGGACGTAACCTCTCCCTCTGCAGCTTGTCTGCTCGCTGCTTAGGAGCTTAGCCTCTGTGCAGATTTCATCCCCACCTAGTATGATCCATGCACCAGGATATTTTTACTTTGGATTGCCTGGTACAAATGATGTCATTTTTAAATCTAGTTTTATGATTTTCTCTCTCCCTCTTAGTTGTCATTATACTCTTGGATTTAAGCCCAGTTTAGTCTCTTAAATTGTGTCCTTTTCATTTGAGACCAAATGACAATCTGGTCCCTCACCTGAAATGTTCTTTTTTATCCCTTCTAAATGATATCTCTTCCCTGTCTAAATCAGCTCTACCCAGTTCTATAGTCTGTCCACATTTTGTCCCTAAAGGAAGCCCTTCTCCCTCAGAGACTTTTCTCTGTGCAGGTGTGATGTCTGTGCTCACAAGGTCTGGACTCATGTCTTGGGTGGTGTATGTCACTCTGTGTGTAATCACAAACCAGAGCCCCATGCTTGCCTCTCTTCCATTCACACCTTGTTTTTCATGGCACACACCATTGTTCTTACCACCAAGCTAGAAGTTTCCTCACCTATAGCCATAAGGAAATCCCTGGGGGTCAGGTCCTGCCTCACACCTCCATGGCTTATACCTGCCCTGCCCTCTACATAGAATGTCTGTTCTCTTTTTCCTGCTCCAGCCCCCTTACTCATCTAGTGAGCCAATCATCCTTCTGGTTCGAGTGTCACCTATTCTTGGAAAGGCTTCACCACCTTCTCCCTGTATACTTGACTATTTGTAAACAATATCTCTCCATCCACTTCATTATAGTACCTACAATTCCACTGCAGTTTATTTACAAGTTCAAATCTTGACCTGGACACTTAAGTACTGTGTGATCTTAGGCAAGTATTTCACTCCCACAACCTGAGTTTGCACCTGTGTGCAATGGGGTGAATAGCACCAACCTCAAAGGGTAACTTTAACCGAGCATATTGTAAAGTTAAACTTAAACCTTTAAGCAACTCTTCATTTCTACAGGATAAAGTCTGAGTTTCTCAGATGGGTATACAAGGCGCTTTGGGCACAAAGTCAGCACTCAGAAGCTATCATCCCCCTCTTCCAGATGCTACAATGAATGTTTACATGCGCTTTCTCCCTCCTGCTAGCAGGTGTCTCCCCAGCCCCTGCTGTTTCAGCCAAGGTCCCAGCATTAGGAGGAAGACACTAGCTAGCTGGCTAAAGCCCAGAGACATACAGAACGATTAACTGACAAACACTTCACCCTCATCTCTCCTGTCCTCACTGACTCAGCCTTCCCCAACTCCTCTGTGTGGGACTGTTTAGAAAGTGCCCTTTGTCCTCTACAGGATGGGAAAGGGAGAAATTTACATTGCCCTTAGGGGGCTGTTTCCATCTCTACCCTCCCACTCCAGTTGTCCCTCACTTCTGCTGTTTTTAACAGATTCTATCCACTGTTGCACCTGTTGCTCACTAACTCATTCATCCAGGTGTAGCTCTTTCCATTTTTTTCTTCATTGCCATTCTACTTCTTTGATCCCTTTAATTTTTAATTTTTTTTTTTCTGAAACATAAAGCCTCAGAAATAGAGTCATTAGAGCTGATACAGTCAGTGGTTCTATGACTGCCCCCTTGGAGACAGTAAGTCAGTAGTGGTTTATCTCTTGGGGAAAGAGGATGAAAAATGACCGTAGAGAGCAGTGAACGAGTGAGGAATGAGTCAGACAGTCAGGGTGGGACCCAAAGGAAGTTGTCACCTCACTTCCCATTAGTCAGGAAGGCTCCAGGAAAGGGGAAATTTTTACCACCGCACTACACATTCTGTCCCACCCACACCTGACCTTCATCCTTATTGAAGACTGAGTTCCTAGACTCCATTAGTTTCCTCACTTTCTCAGTCTGTCCCTGGTGTCATGGCCTTCACTGAATACTCTTTCCTCCAAAGCCTTCCTTCCACCTATTTTCTGCAGGCCCGGAACTGTGTCATTCCTCCCAATCCACTGACAAACTTATTCTTTTTTTCTATCTATTTCAGTGTGTGAAGTGCACTCCTTAGCCAAAGGCTAACCCTTCCACATGTGTGCTGAATCCATTGTCTTCCAATAGCACATAAACATACTCAAGCCTCTTTCCATTTAAAACAACCATCAGGGCCTCCCTGGTGGCCTAGGGGTTAAGTCTCAGCTCCATCATTGCTTCGGCCTGAGTTCAATCCCCGGCCAGGGAGCTGACCCACATATGGTGAAGCAGACCTCTCCTGTCTCGCCTACTGCTCCCCTCAGCAGTGTATTTCAGTAAATCTGCCTGTTCTGCTCCCCACTTTGTCCCAGGTGAATCCTCTCATGCCCCTGTACCTCTGGCCTACACATCAGTTCTACACAAAAATGATGAAATAAAATAAAAACAATCATCAGGCAGATTTGATTGATCAGAATCAATCTAGAGACAGCCAGGCACTGGTATTTTGAAAGCTCACCCTAGTGATTCTAACATGCCAACTGGGGCTGAAAAAGAGAAATAATAAAATCCAAACTCCTTACTGAGTATTATAGGACACTTCCTAAATTGACTCCTGTCCTTGCCTGTGTGCCTTCTGAGTAGGAACTCCCTAAACCACCTAGAGTGCCCCAAACCTGCCACACTTCTTGCTTCTGTCTTATCACACACACTTTTCCCTCTGCCTGCAGTGCCTTTTCCTGCCTTCTAGAGTGTTCTTTAATGCTTAGCTTAGGTGTCATTTCTGTGAAGTCTTTAAGAACTAACCCCCACCTGGGTAAGGTACTCCCCTGAGTGCTTCACAACCCTCTGGGTTTACCTCTGGGAATACTCACCACAATAATTGTTCATTTATGTGTTTGTCTTCTCCATGAGACTATGGATGTCATGAAGGAAACCTAGGGCCATGGAGATGTTATTTGGTAGGACTTGGGGCTAAGTGGTCTATAGCAGATATTTGAAGATACTTGCTCCCAGGACCAAGAACTGAATGAAGTGAGTCTTTGGACACATTCATTCATGTGGTCAATCAGCATTTATCAAGAGCTTGCTACAATCATTACCATTGGTGGGCCAACTAAAGAAATGGATAGATGAAGTTCCCTATCATCACTACGTTTGATACCTGGCACAGTTTCATCACCTAGAGACACCTGTCTCTAGATAGACAATCCAAGCCTTAACCCATTCTCATTGTCTGATTCACTCAGCAGGTGCTCTCAGAATAGTGCTTTGCACACAGTGAACATTTAAGAAATTGTTAATGCGTATGAGTTTACATACAAGTATATACCTTCTTGATCTATTAGTCGCTTTCCACCTTGTCTATTAAATGTTGAGATAGAAAGAGTGCTAGGGCCTCCCCTCGTGGCGCAGCGGTTGAGCGCTGGGTTGCGAGGCTGCCTGCAGCCTCTGCAGTGCCAGTCTGCAGCGCGAGTTTGATCCCTGGCCACCGGCAAGGGTCCCACAAAAAAAAAAAAAAAAAAGCTAAATGCTTTATATGTGTTATCTCCCTCACCTTCACAACCAACCTATGAAATAGGTACTATCATTGTTCCCATTTTATAGCTGTTCAGCAACTCACATAAGCTCACAAAAACTAGAAGATTGAAACCCAGACCTTTGGAGTCAGGTGTGACTCCAAAGTCACAAAAGTATGCCTAAAATACCTTTGGCTTTCAATAAGTGTATTGATGCAGTGATTCAATCTATACCCCCAGGAAGTAAAAGGCTTTTGAATTCCTCCCTACTTGACTCTGGGTCCCTCAATTTCTCTTACCATTCTCACATTGTCTCATTTGTTCAACAAACATTATTGAGGGTCCAATGAGCCAGACAGTGAGCCAGATGTTAGAGATACAGAGACAGTTAAAACATGGCTCCTGCTGAGAGGAGTGTACAGTGAGGGGGGATGCAGATAATTACATTGCAGAATGATGTGGGAGCAAGGGGAAGGAATGCTTTACTGTCTGGGAGAGCTGACTCTACCTTATGTTGAACCAGGGAACAAGGCTTGGAGGGGTGGAGCTGAGAGGGTATGAAAGCTGCTGACACCCTTGGGGAATGATTAAAGCATAGGATGTGGCCCAGGAGACTAGCACTGGTAGAAAGGAAGAGTGAGGGCCAGATCACGTAGGGCCAGATCACGTAGGACCTTAGTACATACAATGCTAAGACCTTTGAACCTGTTCAATAGTTGAATTATTTTTCCATTTCAAGGATAGGTACTTATGGGCTCTGTTGTAGCTGTACTTCGGCCCTGGCCTCTTACCTCTAAGACTAAACTCACATAGTTACATCCCACCATTTATGAACTTAGCCATTCTCCCAAGTCACTGCATCTTCTTAATTCCTCAAATCTGTTCATATTTATATCATCCAATCCTATAAGCAGTTATTGGATCATTTTATGCAAAGCACTCTTCCAGGAGCTGCTGGAGGTCAGATTTCATTTCACTAAAACCTAGTCCTCACCTGCAACCCAATCAGTCTCCAAGCCTTAAATTAGGCTGTTATATCGCACCTGGTTTCCCTCCAACATCCCCATCACACTGGCTATTAGGGTGAAGTGAAGCGATCCCACTACAGCGCAAACCCCTTGTAGGGACAGCGACCGCCATTTTCATTGATGTGTCACCAGCACTTAACACTGTTGCACGTGCTAGGTGGACAATAAATATGTGATGCTACAAACCAGATTTG